ATTTATCTTTTTTGTGATTGCTTGTTATTATTGTCTTTTTACACACACACAAATGAAAAAGGTAAATGCGGTTACATATAATGTTAAACTTAGGTTAACTTTTTAATTCGGAAAAGCAAAGATTTGAGCATAATTACTCGAAAACTGTTTACCTCTCTTGTTTGAACAATTGTCGTAATTTTGGCCGCGTAAATTACTAATATCTAAACCATTTTCCTCTAAATTCTTTAATAAGAATGTTGTTCGTCCTTCACCGGTCGTATCTGTTGTAACACAAAATACTAAAACCTTTCTTCAATACTCATGTCTGTATTTTCTAAGATACCTCATACAAATTAATATCTGCTCTTGATGGCTGGCATCAGGGGTACAATCAAGTTTGGCCTTTTTGACCTTACTTAAAATAATTTGCTTTATATTATCCCCTAATAAGCTAATTGTTTCATTTTAAATTTTATCTTCAAGGTAATGAAGCATATTTTTTTTTAGTTTTGAATTTCATTAAATATATACAGACATGATAGGGTCAAATTTTGTGATCATTTCTGTACAAAAAATTATTATTCCTTTCGAATAACTTGTTACTGGAACCACGGGGAAGGCTAAGTTTTGTTTGGCTAAAAACTCAATGGTATAAATGATTCTTTCAATAACATCGCGCCAATGCTTAGTCTCTTTTTTTTAATAAATTTTGAAATTCTGAATCAACAGGTTTATTCTTTCGTAATCGTTCTAGGAAATCGACCAAAGATGTAGATTTCGGAAATGCAGTTTATTTTTCTCATGAAGTTTTATGTGCTCATTTAAGTGGTTCCATTCGTCAAATTCAGAACTACTCAGTTTTGCGTTGCTGAAACTGTTACAAATTTTGCAGAAAAAATAAATATATAATAAATAAATAAAATAAAAAAAATAAATAAAATAATAAAAAAAAATAAACATAATTTTTTTTTTTCAGCAGAAATTAGCAACCTTTTAACTCTTTCATTATTTCGCAAGATTCGACAAAAGTACATCTAAAAAAAATTACGTACATTTTTGTCTTTTGGGAAACCGTAACTCGAAACCAGGATATCCAGGACTATTTTCTATTAAGGCTTGAACTTGGGATAGCAATAATGGACTTGGGCATAAACCGGAATCATCAGGCATAGGAAAATGCGCATATACTGCAGAAAGTGTAGATTTCGCTAGTATTTCTTCCGTTTTTCTCGACCGGCTGCATTGAAGTTAAAGGTAATTCCCGAGTGAAAACACTTTCTAACTCTTTCTAACTCTTTCTGATTATTACTTTCTTTTGGCAATTTCAATGGCAGCTGAGACAGTAGTGATAGTAGCGTTAGCTTGAGTATTCTCTGGGTTTTGGAAAAACTAAGTAATTTTAAAGTTCTAATTTAATAAATCTTTTTCTCACTTTCTCTTCCTTCATTGCATTCTGCTCCTCAGACAGTTTTTTTTTCTGTTTTTCTTCAGACATCTGAGGATAAGTGAAAACAGAAAAAGTGGAAGTAAAAATAAAAGTAGAAAATAACTATTATAAGAACTATTGCGTAATTAAGAACACTCGAAAAGTCACTGTTTGAAATATTTTACCTTACTTTTGAAAAACTGAATATATCTTAAACCATTGCTTGGAAAATAAATGAATTATTAGATCAATACCAAATAATTCAAGGAGGTGGTAGTACTATTTTGTTTATTAAAGAAAATAAATCAAATTTAAAGTATGCATTTAAGACGTAATGAAATAACGGAACATTTTCCTTCGGTTTTCCATATAGCTAAAAATCAGAAAATCGCCAATTTTTGATTCATTTGTGTATTTTTATTTCTTGTGTATTTTTATTTCTTCAAATCTCAGATAAGTATATTTTAAATTCAGTGGCTCTTCGTAAATATGAATAACTTCGTCAATTTTTTTTTCTCGAAAGATAATAATTTTTAGTTCAATAAACAAATGGTTCATGTAAAAAAACATTTTTCGAGTAATTATGCTCAAATCGTCACTTTTCTGAATTAAAAAGCTATTCTAAGTTTAACTTAATATGTAACTGCGCTTACCTTTTTTATGTAGAATAATAATAACAATAATCAGTCAAAAAAATCACAAAAAAGATAAATGTTGCACAAATTACTATGATTGCAACAGTAGACACAAAATAAGGACTAAGCAATTTGTCGATCGCGCCTCAACTTATGCCAAAAACTGCAAAAAGCATTAACTGATAAATATCAAAGCAATATAAATACTATAGATCTTATGCATGAACTGCAGTTTCGCAAACTTTTGGAGAAATTTCTATATGCATTCACGGTTGAAACTCTATAAGCTGCATTGTTGTCAAGAACATAGCGGTGCGCAAAAAAGAATTTTGGATATATCCCTAGATATACAGCATTTTTTATATCCTCTTGTAATAACACTTTGAAGCGTCGTAAACTACGCTGCGAACAACGATTTATTAAGTGCAAACTTATTAGATATCTAAGTTAATTTGTTTTTAATTTTAAGATAATAAATAGTGTTCAGCAATATATTTGGTATCCAATGCGTTTAATGTATTATTTCGCTTCGCCTGGAGTATTACATTTTATTAACATGTTGTTGTTGTTGACTAATGCTCACTTGTCTGATTATAGTGAGCCCAAGCCCACGAAATTCCTTGTGGCAAGGAGCGCAAGATACGCCTGTCGTTGGCAACAGGCTTGAGCACCTTACAGATAACAGTGCGATTTAGCTCCGTTTCACCCCCTAATTTTGACGGAAGCCATCCTGCGGGAACGTGTCCGAGCGTCTCCCACCCCTCTTCCCCTATCACCGATCTATCGAGACGACTTTTGCCTCGCATATTTAGAGTGCCCCCATGCCGCACGGACACAATACATTTACAAACATCCATGCATTCTCCGAGATTTGAACCCGGGCCCTTCGGCACAGCAGTCAGCAACGCTAACCACTATACAGGTTGGGCGGCTTTTTATAACATAAATATATGTATAATTCTTCAATAAATATGCCTGAGTGTGAGTTAACAAAGCACAAAATGTTTGCATATTTAGACAATTTAAAAGATAAAATGTAATTTTTTTTTTTGGTTTTCCATGTTATTATGCTAATAATGCTTCATTTTAAATGTTAACCATAAGCAATGTCCCTGTAATATCGTCACTGAATAAAAGCGCTCGCTAGACATTTGCACGACGGCACCGATTAGGCTTGGCGCGGGCCTGGCAGTTGGCTGTGTCTTTGCCCAATATAGCAATGAGCAAGAATGTCACATATGGAAAACGCAACTGTCATCCAACGACAGCATCTTCCAACCAAAATCGCACTCATTAGAAACAAAAATAATCCATACAGCAAACGATAGATATTGGCTTTCAAAAGCTACTTTCGAACTCTGTTACCTACATGCACAATCTCTTAATGCTACACGCCATCCTAAATCTAATCCATAGTTCTCATATTTCAGTAATTTTCAAAGTTGATCTGCGATGCTTCAAAATGTTTCCATTTCGACTTGATGAAGGCACATGCCGGAAATGGAGGCAGAGAGGGAGCAGAAGCACTTCCTCGTTAAGCTCGAAAAACCGAAGCAAATTCACAGTATCTGCCCACTAACGCATTTTCATTTTAAATCTGTCGTCAGCAGCTTATGTAAAGCAAAATTGTAAGAGAATATGCCTGTGTATCACAAAGTTGCGCATCTATCTCTTCTTTCCCAAAGTCAACAACACACATGTATATCCACAGGTCCACATTCGGTCTATTTTCTTAAATCAGGCGTAATACTAATGCATCTAAGGTAACATGGGAAATCCTCAGCACTATCTCGCAAGCTGTCCATTAGCATTCAATCATTGTCTAACGGACTCTAACGGACAATACAGATGACAGAATTATATCAGCGCTATATCATCAAACAAAAGGCACTAATCAGGAAGACCAAGGCAATTCTGGACATTCTGGCAGCAAATGGACTAAATTTGTGGGTTTTGCATAATTCCTCTTTTGCATACTTATGCAGTTCATAATAATCAGTCATAATACGCAGTTCATAATAATCAGTCATAATATGCAGTTCATATTAATCAGTAATATTACCATTCTAAGATATTCTTTGTCAAATTATGTCTTGCTTTGTTATTTGACAACTTCATTTGTATATATGTAAATATTTAATTATTATTTTCATTTATAAATTTTAGGTACCAATTTTAGGCTAAATGTAAATAACGAAAGCTATTTGTATGAACATACATAAAAGAGCTGGCTACCTTCGAGGGTGGTGAAAAGGGTCTCTAGGAAAATAACAGCAGGATTAACTGTACAAGAGAAATGGTGTATCAGTCTTTACCCGACTCCTCCATGCCCTTGATCAGTTTCATCATTGATCCGCAGTTTTTTTCTAGAGTAGATATTATTGCGACAAAATGTAATTAAAAGAAAGGGAAAACTTGAATGTTTTAACGAGTGAAATAAAATAGTAAATACTGTAATTCTCTGGAGAACTATAAGCGGTTATGGTTAACAACAGAAATCACGAGACTAAAATTAAAAATTACTTAAAATTAAAAAATAAAATTATTAATTACGGTTATAAGACAGAGCAGTTAGTAACTGTGTTGTCATCAATCGCTTTCAAACCAGTTTCCACTGAAATCCTTTAGCAGTCGATATCTTATGAATATTAAAACCTGGCCGCACACAAGCGACCGACAAAGAACTTTAGTTTAAGAGGATGCCAAATTTTTCATATATAAAGGAGTTAATTAAATTGTAATAAGAAATTTAATTACATAACATTTGGATATATTAGTGTTCGCGTAGTATATTTTGTCTGTGTTTTGCAATGTATGGTTTGGCATCTTCGATTCAAGGCTGGTGAACATCTCGCTGTTGTCACAAGGTGATTATAGCAATCGCAATAATAATAATAATAATAATAATAAAAAAAAAAAAAAAAAAAATGGGTTACTTGAAATGAAACAACAAGTCGAAATATTTCGATAATATTTATTTTTCACATATTTTCTAAAGAAATATCAGATTTAAAAGTCCAGGAACTTTCTTCAATCGTATATTAAAAATATCATTATAGTACAGTTTTGAAGATGGGCCATTTCTTATTTGTTTGATCTTTCGATTAAAATTTGTTATTGCATAATTACAGCTATGATGTCCAGTAAAGCTTCATATTACGAATACTTTCTTATTCGCTAATTTGTATTCAATTTCTGCATTATCATACATTCCAACTTCCTGCAAAAGATATATTTTATATTAATTTCTTAAAAAAGTAAATAATGAACAAATTTTTGGCAATGAATTTTCAATCTGTTTCCTTCTATAAAATAAAGTAAAATAATAGGAAACAACATATATTCACCAAGAATAACAACACAAATTTTAAAAAATCTCCAAAGAGTGACTTTTGCAAAAGTATTATAGGTTAATAAATGAGCAAGCATAGATACGACAAAAGATATTCTTTTTATTTATTTGAAAAGTATTTTCCAGCCATGTCTGATATAACTGCCATTTTTATTAATGATATATTGAAACAAAGGACAGAAAATCTGAGAATAGTAATATTGTAACCATTACAGAATATAGGTTTTATGAATAATTTAAAAGAATAATTCGTTAAATTTTGCAATCCAAATGTCATACATAATGTTGCAAATGTCGTAGATCATGCAACTTCAGAAGTTCTGCAGAAGTACCTTTGCAGTAACTTAACATTTAAAGGAGATGCTGTAAAAATGCAATCTACCTTTCCTCAAGATATGGCTAAAGAAACTTTAACTCTTCGGTCGTTGTGATATTAAGCAATTCTTTCTTCTCACATACTTGCGATATCTGTCAGTTGTAAAATTGTAATGCGAGCTGTGTTCGTTCGCGCTCGTTACGGTGTGCAATTGGAACATGAGCTGAGCTCATTCATGATCATCAAAAGCTTAAAATAACGTGTAAGCTTCAGGAAGTGCTAGGACAAAACTCAAATAATTAACATAAATATATATTGTAGAAATAATTAAAATATTGTAAGAAAGACAAACAAAGAAAGGACGCAAATAATTCAAAAGGAAAGCGGAAGAGTTAATTTAGAGCACAGGCGTTAAAAAGTAAGTTTCTTCATTTGACATACGTATGTGGCACTAATCTCAAGTCCAGGGTAAGGTTAGTTTCGGGAATAATCTTAACTGACGTAGAAACTAAACCCATCGTATGCCAAATGCATTTTAGTACTGATGGGGACTCCACCACAGTTGTGATGAGAGCATTTTGGGGGATGATCATTAAAAGGGGCGGGAGACAAGAATATTCGAAAACATCCCGAGGCGTTGAATATAATCTTCGAATAATCGGCGGCTTGATCTGCGAACGTTTTCAGCATAAGAGGCAAAAAGAGAAAAGTTTTAAGTTCCTTAACTATTAAAAATTCGGGAATAATGGTGGAGATTTAGTTAGGCAACTACAGCAGAAAATTTTTCTCTGTTGTATGAAAAATTATCCGCTACTAACTTTGTTCTGTCACACCTTTACAATAGTTTTACAATTTTACAAGTTTTGTTACAAAAAAAAAAAAAAAAAAAAAAAAAAAAAAAAAAAATGTTCCACGTGATAGCCATTATTTTCAGGTACCATCTGAAATCGTAAAATGGTATGTTCCACAGTTGACAGAATGGGAAATTTCAGTACGTGGCGTGAAATGATTTAAGAATAAAGTTCTTGGCTTGTCATGACTTACCAGATGTTCCAAATGTCCCCAAAGCTAAAAATAGCATGGATCGAGGTCTGAGGATTAAAATGACGTTTAGCAACCTACCGTGCAATGTGTGGAAGAGCCCCATCTTGCATAAAGATTGCGCATGCAAGGCACTGACGTGCTTGCAAAGACGGAACAATTTCGTTCTCTATCAGTGATGCATATCGCTGTCTGGTGATGAAGCATGTCACTGGATTTGTGAAACTTAACTCCTCGATGAAGTACAGGCCAAGAATAAATGACGTAAAATATCTACACCACGCCGTTACGTTTGGTGAAGGCAATGGAACCTCTAAGACTGGACGCAAAATTTCTGATTCCCAAACTCGGCAGTTGTGAGTATTCACTGCACCTCCCAAATGGAAATGCGCTTCATCTGTCCAGAAGATATTCTAAGGCCAGTCTCAATCAACTTCAAAGCAGTCAAGAAACTGAAATGAGAACCGGAGTCGAGCGTCAAAATCATTGGAAGCAGCCGCTGCACTAATGTTTATAAGGATAATATCGGAGGATGTTCCGCAAGATTCTTATGGACAGTTGAATGTGACCTATCCAGCGCCTTTGCTATACGCTGAAAGCTGATTCTAGCCTAAAAGTTCGAAGTTGCATCCTCTGTGACCTGAAGCGTAACTTCCTGTGCTGCTTCTGCAGAAAGAGGTTTTCCTCTTCCAGGACGAACAGAAAACTATCCTGTTCCTTCAAATTTCGTTACCATTTTCCGAAAGTTTTTAACATTAATTGGACGTCTTAGAATCCTCTTCAGAATCCGAAATTTCCGCAGAGCAGCTACTACAGAATTGCTGTTTTGGTAAAGCAGTTTTACTAACACAGCGAGATCTCGTAAACGTTTCGTCATTGTGAGCAACAAGCACATTAAGAACAAAGTCTCCGCGAATATTTCTGGGTTTATAACATGCTGCATGACGTCAATGAAGATTTACACTTTTACTATAATATGCGTTTTATCGGATTTTAGTCTAGTGACTGAGGTGGTTTTGCGAACGTTGAGAGCCTAGTGCTTAGTTATCCTGATCAAAATAAAATTGTTTCCAATCCAAATTTTGAGCGGATAATTTAAATTATCTCTTAAAATATTTAAATAAAGAGCATGGTTCATTATGCCATTAATAAACACTTAAATTACCTAATCCTGATGCTAACATGCACCTCCATACAAGGACGCTTCCATCGTTATGCTTTAATGTTCCAACTAAGTTCTTGGGATTAAGTTCCTCGTTTTTTCTTCATACAATTACATGCCCATCGGAACTTAAAATATTAAATTTGATTTTGTCTTCAAATAACACATGGTTCCAATACTCTTCGGTCTTATTTACCATTGATTTTGCGAAGGAAAGAATAAGCTTTCAGTTTTTGTGCACGTACAAAAAAGTTTCTTCGAGCAGAGCCCTCATGTAATCTAGCTGATCTAAGTACTCTCGGAACAATTTCAGTTGAGACTAAAATAGGAAAATTTTCAATCAATTCTGTTGAAATCTTTACAGCACTGAAACGTGGATTTTTCACAAATTTTTCGGACTATAAATCTCTTATTATGTCGAGTTAACTTTGCCGGAAGACCTCTTCTTACTTTATTTTCGATCCAATTTTATTCTTTAAAGCATTTTATCACACACTGCACCGTAGAATAGGATAAATTTACTAATTTAGCTATACCTTGATTTTCCACTCTTTTGATGAAAAATGCTGAATTTTCGAATGATATTTGTTGTTTCCTTACGACTACGACCCATTTTTAAAGATGGCATGCAAAGAATAAAGCCAAACGAATTTCTAAACGTCATCAAAATGCAAAAGTAAAGAAAATATTGCAAACGATAATTTTAATTTTTACAAAATTTAAACGAAATTTTACAAAAATGTTTCGGTATACGATCACTTTTTGTGGCGTGTTTTATCTATGCCTCCGCATGGAGATGATATGAAAAAAAGGGCTTTATATTCGAATTAAATTCAGGAGCTACATTGATTTTTCTACAAATTCGTTTTTTTTTTTTTGAAGTGTACGAACACTTTTCGGAGCTACTGTATGTCTTTTGACGTCCCAACACATCAAGAAAGTGTAGGGGTATTTGAAGATGATACCAAATCAATAATGGTGAGAAGACAACGAACCATAAAAAACGTAATGTATAGCATTTTATTTTATTTATTTTAGAAGTATAGAATTCTCAAAGGCATCAAGTTAGAGGTTAAAACGAGAGCTACAGCTAGCTGGTTCAGCATAAATGCCTTTTGGAAATTCTTAAAAAAGTGAAAATTAGGAGACTCATGCTTCACTATAATAATAATACATTTTTTCATTCAGCCTGACGAACAGTTGAACAAAAACACAATAAAGTGACAGAACATCCATCTTATTCTGCTGATTTTGCTATGTGTAACTTTTAGCTATTTTGTAATCTAACACAAAGTTTGAGTGGCTTACATTTTCATTTCGAAGATGTGATTGATGATTATTATTTATTTCTACATTCATTATATTTATAAAAGCATAGTTTTCCTTGATTCCATGAAATGGATGGCTTGAAACATTAGAAATTTAAAAAAGTCGTCTAAGAAAGTGCATTGGTAATGGGGGATTGTGCTAATTTGAAAGTTTCTAAGATTTGGCAAATTTAATTTGTGGCATTTAACTGCATCTAAAAGATTTCAGACTGACCTTCATATTAACTTCAGGATTGCAAAAGGGAAGCAAACAGATAAAGACAATGATCGTAACAACAATGCGTAGGGACTCCTGTGGACAAGAATATAAATTCAGGAGCTTTCGAAAGATAAAATGTGTTAGAAAACGCTTATACAAACTGACGAGAACTAAATTTGAAAGCAGAAAATTAGCTAATTTTGCCAGTAAGATTATAAAAAAGGTTGCACTAACAATAATCTGTAAAGGTAATGTTTTATACTAGCCCAACCCATCATTCCAAATAAAAATAATAAGCTTATACAAAGCGGCTGTGCAATAATATAGAAATAGAAATTAATTACAATTTGTGTATTCTTGGTAAGCTCAGAGTGCTGCTTGTCGTGGCTTTTTGTAAGCTTGTCTCTCTCCTTGCCTTGCTTCATTGCAGTAGCTTTCCTTTCATCAATGAACTTCTTCGTATTGTTACTGTTTTTTTCTCTCAGGCGTCTGTAACACGTCAATTATTATAAAAATAAACAGATACACAATTAAAACCTTCTTACTGAAATACTTCAGTAAGAAGTGTAAAAGTTTGATATATGCATATTTATCACATATTTCAACATAAGACAACACTTTAATTTTGAAGATACAACTGAAATGCCTTTACTTTTGAGTTATTCTTTATTTTTATTCATAATTTTGAATTACTTTTGCTTGTCAAGCAATTAACTTACGTTGTATAAAATTATTTTTGTTGCTATTAGTTATTTAAAAGTAATGGGGTAAAAAGCGAATACAAGGGAAGGTTGTCAGAGATTTCTTGCCACAGTTTTTATATAAATTGCAGACCTGACCTTTTAGGTACCTAAAGGATTTCATGAATTTACTTAAAGAATTATTCTCCATTTAAAGCGCAAATAATACTATTTAATTTAAACAGAAAGCAGGGTATAGAATTTATATTTGTCATTTTGCATAAATCTAATTTTGCGGAAATATTTTTTTCAGTGTTCCATTAATAATTTATATATCACCTACATGCATTTCTATTGTTAAAATTAAATGATATTTTCAATGCCTTTTAACTCATTTCATAACTCACAATTAAAATTTTAATTATAATTTAGTTCATTAATGTTTTATTGGTTATATATTTCAGAAAAATTATTTTTCTCCTTCGAATCAAGAATCAATGAACATCAGAGTTCTTAAACAAGATTAGTTTGAACATTGCTCTACAGAGAACGCTTACACATTTTAACTATTTAGATAAAGAATTTTAAAAAAGCGAATGTTTTGGAATAAAAATTTCTTATTATTTGAAATGAGAATACCTTCTGCTGCTTTTAAATTTATTCTTCTTTCGAAAGGTCGCATGTAAACAAGCTGTGGATTGAAGGATATATTTTTATGCTTTGCGATGAGACATTTTCCTTTCCATAATTCGAAAACATTGTGAAATGGCACAGTACTAAAATTTCTAAGTGCCAATTAGCAATATTATTAATCGAAATGGGAAAAACCATCTAACATTGCTTTTACACCGAATAAAGGTTCCAAATAAATACCCGAAAAGGGTTGGTAACGTTTCTAAAGAACTGTTTCTATTGTTTCTGAAGTTAAATCCTTGGTGGCGAAAGAAAATTGACGACGCAGAAATCAGCCATAGAGTCTTTAAATATATTTGCAGCAATAATAAATGAAATAATAAACCAATACAGACGACTTGAAAAAGCTAAAAACCATACAGTTCACCAAGTTTAGCAAAGGCAATATGGCCCAACACAGAACAATTTGTAGAACTCTGCAAAAAAACTATTTAGCATGAGATAAATGAAGATACATTATGATCCTTGAAGAAGCATCAATTTATCTAAGTGACTGCAACCAAAAAAAAAAAAAAAGTCTGTTTATTATGGGAAAAAAGAGGATAAATTGTACAAATCTGGTAGGGTCAATGGAATGAAGATTTCAGTAAGAGGTTTATGATTGTCACGGAATTCTCTTCAAATGGGAAATTAAAAATAAGGAGAGTGGAAAAATTAATGTTAAAACTAGACCAAAGAAGAGTTTATCTAGTCCGATAGTTAGGGAAGAAATTCCAATTCTTCGTATCGGTGACTTTTAAAGGGTGAAACCTCATCATGACAAAGCAAAAATCATATTTCAAAATGTAAAACTGCATTCCTTGAACAATTGAAGACTGATGCAGGTAGTATTCCTGCCAAGTCCCCTGATGTTTCATCTATGGACTCTTATTCTGGTCTTTTCTAAAGAGCTAAGCTTAAATCCGCCACGATTTGCGTACTCTGGGAAGTAATGGAAGAGGAATAGAAATCAGTACCCCTAGAAATTGTACGCAGACCCATTCTATCATGGAAATAACGATGCAGACGTATAATCCCGAAAAAAAGGTGATCAGAACAAGCATTTTAAAAATGCTCATTTTACATTTTAAATATTAATTAAATGACTCCGAAATCGTTCTAAAAATGTATAAGCAATTCATTCAGCTCCAAAACTACTTAGTTTATTTCTGCACATATTGAGAAGTATATATTAGGAAGAACTATACTACTTTTAATACTAAAAATATTGAGGAGTACTGATTTTCACTCATTTTAATGCGGCTCAACTATAACTTTATAATCTATTAATTAAAGTCAATTAATTCAGTTTAATTGTTTGTATTTACAGCACTAACACATTTAAAAGATAGGAAAATTAACTCGGGCATTGTGATTTGCGGACTAAAAATCTATCGTCATTATCTCTAGCTGTTTCTTCGAAATTTAATCCTACAATTTCTTATGGAATTCCCATACTCTACGCCTTCATTGAAATAGTTTCCAAAACATCTTCGGATTAAGATCTTTATGGAAAAATTTAATTTCATTATTTTACTTGAGTCATTCTTATTTTAGAATTATTTCAATACTTGACATATCCTCATTTTCCTAAGAACAGGGCCAGCTCAATGATTACTGGTGCCCCGGGGAAGTTGAACTTTGACACACTTTTTAAGTTTTCACAAGACAAAAAAATTAAAAGTATAGAAGTGAGTTTATTAGTTTGATTGTTTTTCAATATACAATGAACAATATTGTTTTTTTTTTCAACTAGTATTTATACAACAAGAAATTTAGCAATAATTAAAATTTTTTTCTAACCTTTAGATTAGTAAATATTTTTACAGCACTTTCTACATTTATTATTCTTGCAATATCCTTTTCTGTAGACAAAATTGCCAAAGAATTCAATCTATTTTGAGACACGGATGACCATAAGTATGTTTTTATAAGTTTTACTAAATCTTCTCTCGCTAGCGGCCACAGTAATAGGTACTATTATTTTTAACGCAACTTTACAGAGACATTTTGCAGCTTATTAATGTAAATGAACTTAGCCTGTTCTACTGGAAGCTTTACATCTTCCGGAAATAATGTTTTGGCTATATCTAGTTCATTCAACTGATCAGATTATCCTGAAATCACTATTTTTTAATACATTAACTTACTTTTCAAACCCTGAAGGGTTTATTTTCAAACCCTGAAGGGCAAGTTTATTTTTATCTGGCAGATCTTTAAAGTTATTTAAAAGTTCCCGAATCTTATTGAAATTTATAACTGTTCCAGTCTGTCTGATAAAGAATTAATAGCTCTGATTTGCACTGAATACATGATTTTGAAATCTTTTTCCTGTGTCAGTTGCATTCGAAACCTCATCCGTGCACTAATGATTAAACATACTTCTTTTTTCTTATTCTTTTAAAAATGGGCTCTATATTTAATATTGTAGCTAATTCTTTTGTCGATTCTAATGCTTTTCCATATCTGTTTGGACAGTAATCAATTTAGTAATCAATGATACTGTTGAGATTTTAGGTATTCTTTTGGAAGCAGGCAAGATGGATAATTAGCAACGCCTTTGCGGGAAATCGAACCACGGACCTCTGGAATAGCGACCCAGCGTGCAGAACAACTACACCACGAAGGCACGTTAGGAAAGCGGGAGAAATACTTTATAATACTATTCATTAATGAAACTGCAGTAGGTAGTTCAACAGAGGCGTTCTGCAAAAGTTTTGTTGACAACACTTATCCTAAGACATCATATTAGACATTTCTCATCATTAGAAAAACCAAAATCCTCTATTTACGTTCCTTCTATTACCTTAATCTACAAAAGTCTGTGTTTCATGTCGCACTACAGGTTCAGACACAGGTATTTTTGAAAGTTCCTAAAGAGCTTCTCGAATTCATAAGACTTCATTTTTAATGGTTTTGACACATTCTATTTCGCATTCCCATCTGCTCTTGTATAAATGTTTTTCAGCGAGGCAGTTAACATATTTTTTCAATACATGCCATCACTCAGTAGAGACAGAAAAGAAAGTAAGATGCGCTGCACAGTATCCTCCACCCCCCAAAAAAATTGAGTTACATACAACTTGTTGTTTTTCCACTAGCCGCTAAATTTAGGCTATGGCATCATGTTCACGTAACATACATATCCATATGGCGTCCCTTGGATTTTCGTTCATGATCTGTGCCTGAATTTTTTGATATTTCCCTTTTATATTTGAATCATCAATCCTGAACTCTACAGTTCTGTAAGCTTAGGTTCCTGTTTCTAAAAAATAAAGTACACTTTCATATAAATCTTTACCTGCAGATTCTATGACAGGTTTAGATCTAATTAAATGTAATTTATTGCAGTATCTTCTACAGCTAAAATCATATTATAAACGAAAGCTGCTCCACATGACTCACAGGCAAAATATTTTAGTCTTATTTTAGGTTGTGTGAGGTCACGCAGTCTAAAATGAGACTGAAATATTTGGCTTATCTAGCTTGGTTAAGTATATTTTCCCTGACGGAATTTTCCAACTAATTGATAATTTAGTTATGAATATTTTTACCACAATATTGAACGTACAATTCTTTAGATACAACTCGATGTGAATGTTCACTTATTGCAAAATCAAATTTTCCAAGTAACTCAACGAGACCTAAAATATTCCAATTAATTCAACGAGAATAAAAATGTGTGAATAATGTGTCTAAAGTTCTTCTGAAAGCGAAATTGTGTTCAGCTAAATATTGACTAATAATAATTTAACGTTGTAAAACTTTATCCCAATGCTCTCATTCTTTTCCACTTGTGAGTAAAGTTCCTTATTAGAAATTTTATTAGTCTGTTTTTTCATACTGATTTGTCAAACCATTTCTTTAGGCTTTCCAAGTGGTGTACTGTAACTTCATGTAACATTTTTGGGTGCACCTTTATTGCTTCTTCTTTTTGGAAACTTTTTTTTTTTTATTTTCATAGCCGGCAATATTTTGGAGGCAGGCCTTTCTCAATTTTAGGGTAAGAAAAATGATATAACTGTCTATAGAAAACAACTAACTGCCCACAGAAAACAAATGAAAACATTACGGAATATCATTATAAACTGCAGAAAGAAAAAAAGAAAGAAAAGAAAATCTGAAAGCTTTAGGCCTAAAGGGGCGTTTTGTTTTTTAACGTTTCGTGTGTTACCTCTATTTATTAAATATCCCGTTCCTCGCAATTAAACCATAAAATTCGATTCAACGGCAATATCGCAGAAAATTTAAAAGGAGCATACCTTTAGAACATCCGATACTGACACGCCCTCTGGAGTTAAAAATGTTTTTTCCCCCGTACAGATTGCCATTGCTCTCTTTGAAATCGTTGAGTTTGTTAATCAAAATTTCTTAATTTAAAATATGAAATAGATTAGAAAAAAATTTCCAAAGTTTGTCTTCCGGATGCCCATATTCGAGTGGAGGACTACGTTATTCAAAATCTGATGTCCTTAGGTACCGTTGTTTTTTCACAATGCGAGAAACATACATACATTCATGCAGATTCTTCATTATTTAATTTTTTTAAATATAAAGCAGGGCTCTAATTTTTGGTGGCAACAATTTGAGAAGTGAAACGCCGTTTTATAATGGACGACGTAAAATGCGAAAACAAAATTAATAGCCGTTCTTGTCAAATTGCCCCTTTGGGCTAAAAGCCATAGAAACAAATAAGATAATGTTGATTCTAACTCAACCTCCTCAGGGTGCTGCCATATATACGAGTATAATTTCTTTTTTAAATGAAAGGTCGGTATCTCAAGAAAACAACAACAAAAATGCTACATCTCAGAATATCAGTAGCTGGATTTGAGTGACACTCGCTTTAGGAAAGTGCTAAAAACGTCAGTCTGAGAAAATTAGTATTTATTACTTTGTGCATTGTTTAAGAGGATGAGGAGATTCTTAATGACTCTCTGGGAAACTAGGCGAACCTTACCTTGAGCGGGGTCTAGCCACAGAGTTATCGCTTTAACAATGTATTATCATATTAAGTAAGTCATTTTATAGCATCCTAAATCACAGCCCAAGTAATTTATTACATTTATTAGATTATGGCTACACATAACAAGGCTCGAACGAAGACATTTCTCCTTCGGAAATACAACTCCAACAATGGCCGAGTGGTTAAGATCGCTGAATACTGGAAGTTTGAACTGGGTTCGAGCTTGGCCACATGGGTATTTCTCCTGGATTTCACCATGTATAGTGTGAATAGGATTAAATTTTCCTTAGAACGTTCTCTATGAAGTCATTCCACCTTTTACAAAATTGCACTCGTGTGCTCGAAAGCTATAACAATCAAAATACCTGCGTTCTAGTCATTAAAGCCTATGCTAAATCAAAAATCTACTGCCCGTAATTTTAATATTTTCAGAACTCGAGACATAAATAGCTTTCAGCAAATCACATAAATTTACACATTGAACTCAAATTCCTTTGCAAAGCCAACATTTTTTTAGAGAAGGAGTTTATGCATCTTCATGTTCCTACTAAGTATACTTTGCAAACGTATTTAGTTTGAAAAAAAAAGTGATGTATTAACTACAGATGAAAAAACAGTTTTTTTAACACAGATGTAGCTATCATCGGACTAAGCGCGCCTCGAATGAAGGCGAAAGAAGAGAAATGGTGACAAGGCTCAAGCATTAGAGAAGCTGACGGGCGTAGGGAGTTCATTGACACTTTGACTGGATCTTTAGATGTACTCTGTTTGAAGCTCCTGTTATTTCGTTTTTGAAAATGCTATAATATTTTCCCGCGTCCATAACCAATTTGTGAAAATAAATTCTGATGCTAACATGAATAATGCTGCATCTCACTCTATGAAGTTTCATCAATCCTTTTATACTTATGGACAACGTATAAAATGCACAATATACTTCAGTGAACAACGAAAAAGGGGATAATAAAGTTTCGACATATCCTGAATGATAATTAGCGGCTCGTTAATGTTTTCAGTTTGTAGCCAAATCAACTTGAAAAGTAAAAATTCAAATTCAAGGAACCGGTGCATTGTATTCCATTATCAGATAATGTGTACATTGGAAGAAAAGCATGATAAAGAGGAAAACAAGTTAATGTTACGACTAAAGGAACTAACTACAAAATTTCAATTAGTTTTCAGCCACTCCGAATATGCTAAAGAATTTTTATTTGATGTTGATTCTAATACAAAGCGAAGCTAATTTTTGTGGAAAAGTAAATTAAATATTCAGAGGATAGAGGATGAAAATTGAACCAATTTATTTTTATTAACGTTAGAATTTTATTCTCTAGTACAACACAAACATATATAATGTATTCAATAAAGTTAAACTGCCATTTTATCTTCTTTGTTACTCTGTTCGCTTACCGCGAATTGATTTACGGATTAAATAGTTACGCTGAGGAAGGTGGTTTTCCTGTATATTAAAAATTCTCTATCATAGCTACTCACCTTTCTCTTTCAGCTTTGTTTCTGAGCGTCCTATCATTGTTTACCTCCTTGGCCGTCTCCATAGATATTTTAGCTTGTCTGGCTTTCATTTCTTTATTTTCACTATAAAAATTCATGTTTGTTTATTTAAATAGCATTCAAAACATACTTAGATATATTTTTATATATTTACGTTACATATATACAAATTTAAGATAATTCTCAGAAATTACGAATCGAACAATAGATATACAATTTGAGACAAGAAATACCACTAATAAAGATATATATAATTAATGATATTATCCGCTACAAAATAAATTTTTTAGTTGACAAACAAAATTAAACTTTTGTTCACAGTCAATTCGAAAATTAGCTCTATCATGAGAAACTTATTAAGAATTGTATTATTATGGAAAGTCGTAGCGAGCTGTAATGGCAGAAAATAACGAATGAACAAATAAAAATTTAAAAATTAACTGTTAAGTAAAAGCTAAATCTGAGAGGATTAAGTTTTATTATAAAAAATATTCAAATCAACTTTATTTATGATACAGTTATGCTGTCCTCTCTCTATAAAAAAAGTGCGCTCTAGATCGTTAGTTGTAAGCAGACAGAAATAATAGCGAATAATTGCATTCAAAAATTTTTATTATAATTTAGGAGAAAAAAAATCTAGGTTCTGAATTGATAACAACGAATTCCAAAATTCGTTAATTTATTAATGAATTTAATCCATCGTCAGACTGTGGTATACTGTTAAGTTTTGGAATGGTGATAAGTAAAATATCAATATCTATTTTCGTATTTTCACAAGTAAGAATTGTACAATGACAACAATGTAGCACGAATGAAGTCTGCATTTATTTTGACGTTGATGAAAGTTTAAAGCGGCTTTAAAAGAGCTATTTCACATGGAAAGGCAGAACATTTTAAACTGAGCTAGAAGAATACTGCACGAACTTAAAACTAGATAGTTTGTAGAAATAATGAACGACAGGTAACTGTCACTGAAATATTTATAGCAATGAGAACTGCTTGTATATCAGATATGATTTCTTAGAATTTAGAAGGAAAATTAAATGAAATATTTCGCGAAAAATTTCCCTTTTGTTTCGATTCTACGCTTTCTTGTTTCCTAATATGTGCAGGATTATTTATAACTTCGTGAAACATTTAAAAAATCATTTAACAAATAAATTTCCCAACGAATATCCGAAACGCAAATTCATCTAATTTTTTTAACATATTTTCTAAATGCTCCAACTTTGGTGATGCGACAGCGATAATCAATTTCATTCCACCCGTGCGCAATTACGTTGCGACTGACAAATCGGTAAAATGGTTGCAAAGATTTCGGAGTTAGTGAGCGGACCGCATCCTGTCTATCTCATGCAGCTTAGGAAAAATTTTAATTAAGATACTCACGCAAATGGCTTCACTTTTTTTTCTTTATAGAAATTTTGTTACTTTATGCTTGTATGCTTGGCTACATGATCAAAGTAAGGCAGGAGAACTTTTCAAGTCGATGCAATCGGTAAGCCGATCAGCCTGGCTTTCAGCTTTTTGATGTTTCCGGTTTTTCTCCGGTTAGTAATTCTATGTATGTAAACCCACCAGCGGTAAAGTCGCTAAACACTGGTGTTCGGTCGGAGGTTCGAATCCCGCTAACGGGATGGCTGCCTAGACGTTTCCGTAATTTCCCCCATGTGTAACGTGCATATGAGCCAGTTTCTCTTAGAAATTCCTCCACGAAGGCATGCCTACTCTTAGGCAGATAGCCTTCGATGTTTTGCCGTAATCACATAAGACAAACCAAACAAATATGATGTATGTATGGTTTTCATGAGTCAGTTGCTTGTTGGTTGGCTGGTTGCACAGCTGCGCAGTTCATATTGCTATATAGATAATGTAACGAATCGCTTATAAATTCTCTTTACTTAGGCACTTTATTAGGTGTATCTTATATCAATATCTATGTCTGGAATTGTGCATAATTTCTGAATGCTGCTTTTGAACGAATTAAAGCTATAGCCAACAAATAGTTTACAGATACCAACTAACCTTAAGATTTCAAATCGCAAATAATTATAAATTTGAACTTTTTCTTTTTCGTTATTGTAATTAGTATTGTTTATGTGTTTTTGATAAATATTTAGGAAGTGAAATATAAAATTAAGTTAACGTTTTTTTTATTTAACCTTATTTACACAATTTTTATTCTATTAAGAAAAGTTTCATTTTGCCCCCTTTCCCCCCAAAAAAATTAAAAAAAAAAGAAGTGAAATATAAAATTAAGTTAACCTTTTTTTTATTTAGCCTTATTTACACAATTTTTATTCTATTAAGAAAAGTTTCATTTTGCCCCCTTTCCCCCAAAAAAAATTTAAAAAAAAAAGTGACCCGTCATCTTCTTTCAGATTGTGCCTTTTGTTCTCATGCTGTTTGAATCTGATACCACTGATGTTCCACATATTACAGTAATAAGTAATATCTGAAATTACGCGATTGGTAGGACCGACGAAAAGCGCACAAGTGAGGTGTTAACTTTCCACATAAATACATATAAATTTTACTTAAATGAGACAAAAGGCTAAGAAGCATTTGTTTAGAAGGAAATTATATTACAAGAATACGGTTTTCATACATATCATTACAAAATATTAAAATAAATGTGTTGTGTAAAACGGAGTTATTTCGAAGCCTGTAGTTTAATAAAATTTAACAAATTCGTCTGACAATTGAATGACTTTTTCATCGCGTAAAATTTCTTCATAGTAAGCTAATAATTTTTTTTATTCTTGGCCCACCAGCGGCCGAGCGGTAAAGACGCTGAACACTGGTAGTTCGGTCTGAGGTTCGAATCCCGCGAACGGGCTGGCTGCATGGGCGTTTTCGTGGTTTTCCCCATGTGTAACGTGTATACGAGCCAGTTTCCCTTAGAAAGTCCTCCACGAAAGGCATCCCTCCCTTTAGGCAGATAGCCCTCGTGTGCTTTGCCATAATTAAATACACCATACACCTTGTCTTCTCCAAAATTTGTAGCACGTTTCCAATTGGTTCCGAGACCACCTATTAAGTTTGTAATTGTAATATACTTGTCTAATTGTAATATACTACTGGATAATTAAGGCGATCTAGGTTTGAGGTGTTGACTTCTTCAGTTGCGATTTATTTAGGCATCTCTATAAGTTCATCCGATTGTCAGCTCTATGCTAGAAGAGGCCAATAGTTCACTGACGTCATTCCTGAGAACTTCCAAGTCTAGTAGTCTGGCAAGTGTCTTCTACTATTATAACATAAGAATCTTGATTCATTTCTAGCTTTGTTTTCATCTCGTTCTTTCGAGAAAGAATAGAGAAATCGTTTTGGAAACACGTCTCGAGGTTTTTTAGGAAATTTCATCACGATATTCATAAATATTCTTTAACAAAAATAAGTAACCGCGTAAGTTCGAGTTCACTAAGTTGGGAGAGCGTGAATTGGGTCATTTCTATAAACAGAAAAACTCACCTTCAGGGTATTTTTGGAGCTGATCCTTTGCAAATACGCATTTCCCCCATCTCACTGATCTTATAGTTTTAAAATTTATTGCAGGTTCCTAATCCTGTGAACTACTTCCTATGTTTATAAGTGTTTGGGCACTGAGGAAATTAAATATGAAGAAGTAATGCGTCATTAAATAACATTGATTCAAAGGTGGCAATATTATTTTTAAAGCATCGAGGTTACAGAATTTTACAGTTTCTTGATGCAGTTATAGTTACAACACTTTGATTTACGTAGTGTTATTTGTAATATACCTGCAATTACGTATTATTATTTTTTTAATGCCGTAACGCCAAAATCAGAAATCACAAACTGCGATTGTTTATGTTAAATCATAAATATTGTATTGTGATCTAATATTATAAAGTTTCCTTATTTGTTGAAAAAATTGATAAAATTAGTCTTTAGCATAAATTTTCATCAACATTTTAAAATTTAAGTAAGTAATTAATAATTTTTTTATTATTTTCTGATTAATTACATTTAATAAAAAACTAATGTCAGTATAATTTATGTCAGCATTCAAATAAACAACATTGAAAGTGCGATTGACTCTGATAAAAATGCGAAATTCTGGGCAACAAAAATAAATAATAAATAAATAAATAAATAAAATAAATAAATAAATAAAAGATTAAACTCTATACCTTGCCGATTTTATATTACGTCCAAAGAGGCGTTTTTTTCATTTGCAAACACTTGCACGTCACGAGAGCATTTGGGCAATCGTCCCTTTGGGCTAAAATTATTTAAAAACAGCATATTTTTAGAATTTTCGGACTGGAGATAAAAGTGCTTTATCGTGTACATCCATTGGTCGCCCTGAAGTCGTTAAGGCTCTAATAAAATTTCGTTTAAAGGGGTGTTAGAACCCAAAAATCTTCAAAAAATGGTGATTTCGGATTTTTGCATTTTCAAATTCTCTACACTTTTATCTTTTTAAAAATAACATTCTTTAATCTCTATGAAAATTAGAACTGTAAAAAATCTAGTTTTAATTTGTCATTGAATGAGTGATATGGATTCTTACATAAAAACGCGTTTTTCTCCAAACGTGATTTTTTTTATATTCGATGTACCTTTTCTCAGGAACTACTGCTCACAGGCATCTAAAATTTTCATGGCTTATTTATTAGGTTTCCTAATATTTTACTGAAATGAGCGTTTTGGGATAAACTAAGAAAAAAATATTAAAAAAAATTGTGTGAGAAAAATGCTAAATTTTACTATGCCTAACAAAATATTCTGTAAATTACTCTAAAATTCAAAGTGTTTCAAAAGTTCATTTCAGTATAATCAGATAGGTATACTTTAATTACACAAAAATTTCAAGCATGTATCTACAGAAGACTTTGTGAAAAGTTACATCGGAAATGGCCAATTTAACTTTGTCGGTATAGGGATTGCTGATACTCCTTAAAGCATTACAAAATATGAAATAGATATTAAAACAAATTCGAAATTCCAAATTTGGGTTCCCATATTCGGGTGGATGGCTACGTTACCTGAAAATTTGAAGACCCTAGGAACCATTGATTTTTCACAGTGAGAGAAACATACATACATGCATGCAGATTCTTCATTATTTAATTTTTAAAATATAATACAGATCGATAATATTTGATGGCAACAATTTAAAAAATGATACAGCCATTTATCGTAATTCGACGCAAAATGCCGTTTCGAGACTAATAGCTCTTCTAGGCTAACATCCCTTTGGGCTAAAAATTCTAAAAGTTATTGAGAGTTAAAGATTCTTCCCCTCCCATCGTATAAAATTTTATATACTTATCGCATACTTTTACTAAGATATATTAATTACACATTATAGGATACTTAAGTTGCGCTCATTTTAAGACTAATAATTCATCATGTGAAATAAATTAAATAGGAAACGCGTTCTTTGTTTTTCTAATGAAGAATTCCAGTGCCATGTTGTCAGAAATACCCATCCCAACACAATTTCTAATTTCTTCGCTTCATGTGATACACAAACAGTTGATTTCTAATTTCAAGAAACTGTATACAAGAGCACTTTTGGGTCAAGTGGGTTAAAATTCTATCAGTTTGTATGTGATATAATCTTTATAAAACTCTGGAAGGATCAATTTGATATTGGGGAAGGTATCAAAATGGTCCAGAAGTCACTCAAAAGAGTTTAAGCTTACTTTGGAGGAGTATCTATCTTATCTACGTTTATGGTGAACTAATGGTTGATGACAAACTGGTTGAGAAAATTGTTTCCATAGTACTGGGAGCTGATAAAGAAGATATAAAGAAGCTGCTAGTAGAGCACCATATTGAACTTATTACAGTATAACTGTAGAGACATTAGGTTAATTGGAAAAGCCGGAGAGTTGAAAAATTAGCAACCAACTTCGCCGGGAATCGAACCACGGACCTCTGGAATACCGGCCCAGTGTGCTGACCACTACACCAAGAAGGCACGCTAGGAAAGCGGGAGAAATACCTTATATAACAACAGATTTTCTTGAATAAAAACACGAAAATACCCAGAAAGAAATGTTTTTTGAGGAACAGGGGGTAGGAAACAAGAAGACAAATGTTGCAACTAGAACCAATACTGCAAAACCGCAATGCCATGCATTACTTTAAGACCATTCCGAAGAAGTAGAAGGAAAAAGTCATGCATATAGATAACTTCTTGAAACATAAATCTTCGAAAAAATCAAAGGCATATATTCAGGAAAGTCAAGGAAGCTAAGATTTTCATCGCTAATAGAACACAAAAAGTTTCAAATAATAATAAAGTGTGAAGTGGTGACATACTCTACATTCATAATATACTTAAATATGATAATGACTAATGAATTGACAAATTCATTTCGTTTCCAGCATTGGTGGTGTTTTTAATTTTTTTTTGTGAATTTCTTTTATGATGCTTGTGTGGGACGAGTATAAGTACTATTAAAATTATTCTTGTAGTAACCTAGAGGTGACACAGTGCGCAGCATAACGAAAACCTCTCTGGAACAGATTACGTTGATTATGCAAGGCACCACTGCATTCTATGTAGGTAATACATTTTTTCAGTCACAATATACCTGTGTAAATGAAAGTAATTTTTTGTGCATAAAAGATTTGAGAAGTAAAGGGTAATTTGCTATTAATTCAGCAAATTATGATTACGTTTCTATCGCATAATTTCTGGCTGCAATTAGCTTTAGTGATAGATAAAGCAGTTCTTCAAATACACCGCATCTTATTTCAATGGAGAAGTTTTCTCAGAAATGTTTCCTTTTTTTATGGGGTGCATTACGAAGCAATTACACTAATAAATTCACAACAGAGGAAATAAATAGACATAGACTTTAACGAAGAACTTTCACATGTTTTTCAGAAAAATAAAAGAAATATAAATACATGTCGAATTTTTGCTCCAGTTGTCGCAGCTGTTTAACCTGTTCTAAGTTCATGAGTCGTTCCAAAATGTTGCCTTGCTCAGAGGCTTGAGTATTCAACAGTTCCCATTCTTCTTTTTTATGCTTCTCCACAAGTTCCGACCATTGTTCCATCTGGCTGATCACTAATTCCTTCATCTTCGCATCTTGTGTAAGATCAGACCTATAAAGAATTTGAGAAAAATCTATAAAACGAGGGCTGAGATTAATGCAATCTTTCAGTTTATCTCGCAAACGACTTGTTAAGAATTTTGAAAATTTGTATAATACAGAGCCCACATCTTAAAGTTACAATTGTTTCTATTGGCATCATATTTTAATGACATAGTCATGAAAATATATACATTTGCGATATAAATTATGCTTTTTGAAATGATCTGATATACATAAAATAACTTATTGTACCTGTATATTTCATTTAGGAAAATTCGATCGGTTTTTCTTAAAAAAGTTAAAAGGATCTATAGAGTATAGTTAAGTTTATTTACACTGGTGTTCAAAATTAAACGACTTTTCCCATTTTACCAATTATTTCCAGAACCGATTGACAGAACTTAATGAAATCTGACCGGAACATGCGTTGATATGAGACAAGAATAGGTTACATAATAGTTGCGATATACACTCATGTTTATGTACAGATCTCATCGGTGCAGAAAGGTCTGAAAAGAAGCTGCAAAATCGAGTAAAAGAAGGAGACTGGTACGGGGTATGGTCCTCTCTAACAGTTCAAGAGCTCTCACAGTGTGAATTCAAAGTTAGAAATGAGACAGTTTATGAATTCTAATGGTAATTGGTCTCACTTCAGCTGCAACACTGTTTCGAAGTTCTGAAAGGGTTTGGGAGGCAGGCATGGAGAGTTGCAAGAATATCCGAGGAGTTTGCAATCGACATATAGGATGAAGCTGTGGACAGTTGTGCAACAAGCAGAGTTTGAAAGCAGTACTAAGTGGATACTGACTTCACAGAGTGAATACTGACAGTACTGATGTTCCGATAATTGCATATGATTAATTGTGATAACGTAGGGCTGGTGGGATATTAAGCAGATCTCTGTTATATCCTGGTGATTCAATGTAATCTTGTCATCTATAAATTAAAAACTCATCATTTAAATGAAAGGAAGTAGTACATATTTTCAAAAATTATGGAGTGTCTTAAATATCTCTTCTCATTTCGAAATATATAACAAACATCGTGTTGTATTTATCAAGAAATTTTTTAACTTTGGAAATAAGTACTAAAAACAAAAGTAGTAAATATTTACAAAAACTTGCTTTAACTTAAATATTGTTTAATACTTCCAGAAAAATTTTGATGGGCCGATAGAGAATGCATTACCTTAAGACACTGTTTCTAGTCTATATTTGAAAGCACTGAAAATAGCTAATCAGTAGAAAATGAATAAAATGTTAATTTAGTCAGAAAACAGTTGATGGTTCGGGCTTTTAAGCAAATGGAAATACCCACTGCAAGTAAAAACTCTTCTTGACTCTCTCCGATTGACGCAACTCAAACAGTGACATTCTGCAATATAATAGATAATCAAAATGGTCGTAGCGTCACCGTATGGAACAGTTTAATGCAACAGATAGACACAGCAATAACATGAATTAAAAAGCTGTCCTTCTCCCTAATTATTTATACATTATACATTTCCATTCCTACATTTTGCTTTAAAAGAGGTGCCTTAATCCAACACAATATTTTCCGTCATAGCAGCTTAGAAGAGATTAATTGCTTATTGTTCTGACTTCGGCAATCTAAATGGTATATCTGGTAATGATAATTAACAGATATACCATTTAGATTGCCGAATCTAAATGGTAATTAATTCGAGTTATTGATCCATTTCTATAGTATAAATCAAAGTTATGAGCAATGATTCAAAGCACGTTAAGTCCAAATATATTACATGGGTGTTCGAGAATTTCATGGCATCTATGGACCAACAAATACCTGAGGTTATTCTCATTGAAGACGTAAAAATTCCTTAGTAATTAAATAAATGTTTTTACCGTTACTTTGACTCTTCAATATTTATGACAAGCTAAACACTGAGCCATATTTTAGCTAAGAGTTTTTCAATAAAGTTAGCAATAAAAAGAAATGTAAACATTTTTTTGGAAAAATGTAGAATTGTAAACATAAATATGGTAACTGAGTAAAATACGTTGAATGATAAACTTTAAGCCAAATATTAAAACAAATGAAAGCAAATGCTTACTGTTTGGAGTTCTTCATATATTTCTCTATTGCAGTACATTGGAACTTCTGAATCGCAGCTTTATCTTTCGCTTGTCGTTTCATCAAAGAGTTAAGAGCCTTCATATGCTTCTTTTTAAGCTTTTGGAATGGTTTAAGTTCCTTTAGTGAGTCTTTGGTGATTACTTCCAATTTATAATCATCTAAAAATGAAAGGAATATAATTAAAAATATAATTTTCTGCGACACGTAATTTGAGATGAAATAATTTTTACTTATGTTAGACGACACTTATTTCACATTTTTTAACGTATAGTAAGTACAGTAATAAAATTATTGGGAAAAGTTTTTTTTCATTTGCTTAAGGATTTATACATGGTACTAAAATGCGTGACCTATAATTGCAGTCTATTAGATACTAGCAGACTGGAATATCTGGTAACGTCAGGCAGACTGTTAGGTTTGGCATTTTTCTCTCGCTTAAATATGATAATAGAGAATTTTTATACTCATTAGCACACAATTTTGATACCATTCAAATCGACTATAATGCCAAATATGAAACAACTGGGTAGTCTTGGAAAATGCATTACGAACACAAACGACTAGTGTAAAAGATCTTTTCATTAAATTAAAAAATTGTAGAACAGAAATCATTCCTGGTGCTTTCAAACTCAGTCAGCATTAATGGCTATAAATCAAGATAAGAATTTAAAATTTTAAACTAATTATAAATTAACCAACAGTCTATGCAGAGATATTTAACGCAAAAGTTCGCCCTATTACTTACAACGGCGTGAAAAGCACTATCGGCAAGAATAATTAATGCCGTAGATAAGAACCCTTATCTTAAGATAACAAGCTAGTACAAGCTTGTTATCTTAAGAAAACAAGCTTCCTTCAGCAGGCAGAACATGCTCTGTCTAAGCAATTTAAAACTCTCCTTTAAATACTATCTCTTTCCACCTCATTTACATTCTGGTAAAAAAATGGAAACGAGGAGTGACAGTACAAATCCAAGACATAAAATAACTGGTTAGTAAAAAATAATAAGTTTCTTACAAAGTCAATAATTGTAAAAGCAATTACCACAATATGCCTGAAACGATTGAAAATTTTAGAAATGCAAAAAGCAGTTTATAGAGAACTAAACTAATCTTAAGCAAGATGGCAAATTAAAAAAGATTTACGAAAATTGGTTTGAAACTACTATGCTTTTATTGCTTTGCTTCAGAGATAAGACAGAGAGCGTTTTGTAAAATATATTTTGAATGGTTTCTTTGGCCCATTTTCACTTCTTTGTACGAAGTAAGGGAAGGATTGTAATCGCGAAAACTTTTGGGTAAATTATTTCAAAAGAAAATATCCATTCTGACCTCCCTCGAATCCATTTGAGCGATGTTTTGCGTGACATGTGCATATAAGGACAGAATAAAGGACTCTTTTTCCCAAATGGGATTGAAAATGGATTTGAAATGGATTCCTAAGAGTCTTTTTCATAACGTCTGTATGTACGTATGCATATGATATTTTCCATAACTCAAAAACGAGTGGCGTCAGAAAGTTGAAATTTTGTATACGGGATTACTATAACGTGTAGTTGTGCACCTCCATTTTTGGTTGTAGTTGGCCGCACCAAAAGTACATAAACAAATAAATAAAAATATATATATATGCACTCACACACTCACTGTGTTACCAAGCTCAGTCAGTTCAGTTTTTTTTACTTTTATATGTTGGTACATTGTGAAATTTTTTACTTTAGATAAGATCACTTAGATATTTCTTTTTGTTAGATTGAATTATTTTGTTATGTTACGGTAAAAATTTTTATGCCTTTAATTAATCTGCATGTAACAGTTGTAGAATTATCAATAATTTGCCGCGATTTGTTTACATTTGAAACTCTTAGTAGAATAATGAATTAAGTTAGTTTCTGCACTTTCAGAGGCTTTTTGCCGACTGGGACCAAAAGTAAACTTTCAGTTTTATGCACCGAAAAATCTGCCTTCTCGCCCGCTGTCCAGTTTGCTTGTTTTTTGCGTAGACACTCTAATTTTAATTCTAATTTTTTTAAAACTGTTTTAACTGTATTTGGTGTTTTAGGCTTTCTATATTTTACAATTTTTAATGAAGGTGTTTTGAGCTTTTATGTATTTTTGCCTTGCCGCGAGGTGAGATCTGAATTGACTCAATGAGAAATATGTCTCTAATGAAATTCAGGGAAATAAGTTTAAATGAAATGCAGCAAAAAATGTGTATAATTTAATAGGCCGTTCAAGAAAGTCATGTGGTATTCACATCAGATTTCTTAATTTTGTCTTGATAATGACGACAAAATATCATCGCCAAAGAACGATAGTTTTATTTCTCACCTTTCTTGTCATCATCTTTCTTGGCATTTACTTTGCCGCCACCCAGCTTCAGGTCTTGAGTTTGCACATCTGATTCTTCAATTCCCATAGCTTTCATCTGAGCAACTCTTTTCTCTTGAGCCGAAAGGAAAGCTCTTGGGTCAGACAGAGCGTCCATTAGATCTTAAAATAAAATAATTATTATAAGTTATGCAGTGTGTTGTTTCAGCTGGTACAGGAGGAGCTCCAGAGACCCGGATATCATCAAGGAATAATTTACTTACTCTTTACCTGACGAATGCTATGGGTATCCCAATACTTTCATCCCTTTCAGCGAAAATAGTAAGCATTATTTTTTTATCTCAAAAGGTAATCGTTTATTGCTTCTGTGCTTAGCTAATGACACATTTGAAAACTTATTCATACAAAGTGAGTTTAGGTATCCATAGAATCATTATTCCAGATAAAATTTTGTGGTATATTTAATGTAGCTGCGCATGAACTATTTTTTATTAATATTTAATTTTTGTCTACATTTATAAAACAATTTTCTTTACTATTTATTTCAAAGCTCTTAATTTATGACGGCATTTAGATAGTTAAAAGAAAAGAGCAAAATATGATGATAAATAATAATAAAAAATATTTATGCATTATGACTTCAAGTAAACGGTCATGTCAAGGAGGATCATTTGATACTTCTGGAACCACAATAATCTGCTTTTTGTATGGTTAGTTGGTTAATTGCGACAAAATTTCACGAGAAATCTACTTTCGCAGAAATATTCTGAAATATATGGGCTCGTAATTTGCGTAAAAATTAGGAAAAAGCATGAAACTCTCCATGCAACCAGCCTGTTTAATAATCAAGCACTGAACGAATTGAATTAACCCATTCAATCAATAGGACTGAATTACCAGTGGTCCGCGGCTCCAGTTAGTCAGCCATTGATAAGTCTCTCCAGAAAAGTTCCTTCCGGAGCAATATTCAGTCATCAGCAAATAAGGATATTTAATACTTTCATAGTGAAGTCATCCGTAATACCGCAGGCCTACTTCCATTTTCTACCTAATGCTTTTCCCCCACCACGTTAGTGCACTTCTCATTGCTTCCAGTAGTTGTTAAATGACATGTCAATCATTCTTTTGAAGCGACTGAAGTAGTTGTCTTTTGTAATGAACCTTCTCTGTTCTTTGTTTAGACTCAACGTTTAGCTATTGATGCTCGCAGTTCAAATAGGGAAAATTGCACACATTGCACACAGTGGGTGTAACCGCACAAAGATCTGTAAAAGAAAAGTAATGGCTTCACTAAGTATGTTATTGTTAATGCTGTAGCATTCCACGAGGCAGAGGAAAGGAAAATCATTCCAGAGGAAATTTGTATACACGGGCGTTTCAGATGCTTAAGAGGAATTGATTTTTGCCTCTATCAATGCAAAAGAGTGAAAGTTTTTGAATGTAACGAATTTATAGCAAGCAGTTAGATTGTTGGTATTAGGATTGCAAAAATTATACAGGTGATTAATTGCTTTTCTTTTTTATTAATTTTCCCCTTTTAAGTTTTCACAAAGATACATTTATTTTGTTTCGATAAAAACTTTTTTTCTGGTTTAAATTCCAAGCACAGGCATGCAAAATTTCTTAAATTTTTAGTGCAGAGTTTCTGAAAATGAATTTATTTATAAAATATCGATATTAAAAGGTTTAATTTACCCCATAACCCGTTTTCACTCTCTTTTTTTTATATTACTTTTATCTTCATACTATCTGATCCAAAAATTTAGAGTACTGAAATTAGGTACCTCCTAATCCATCAGGAATGTAAATTTTTAATTCTATACAGATGAATAACATCGCCAGTGACATCGGAAAATTTCCATCTGTTCGCAGAGACACGTGACGATAACCTAAAATGAAAATAAATAAATAGATAAATCAATAATTTAACAAGATATAGTACTAGTAAATTAACTAGAACTATTTGATATTAAACACTAGGTGAATTACAAAAAATTCAAATTTCAAAAGCAAAGAAAGCTTCGTTAAATGTACTTCTCTTTTCCCCTTCCGTTTTCGGTTATTGGGTTCGAACCTAATCAAGAAAAGTATTGCCAAGTTAATTACGATGATGATCATCATCGTAATTAACTTAAAAATACTTTTTCTTTGTTTCAGTAATCGTAATTAATGTGATAAAGATATTTTTTCCCTTTTCTTTTCTTTCACTTTTTTCTTTGTAGATAGAATATACGTAAGAAAAATACAAAGAAATGCGAAAAATAAGTAAACAATGCTAACTTATAGTACATAATACAAATATGACGAAAAGCTTTTATAAAAAGATTGAAAATCACACTGTAAAAGACACTGTTAAACAGAAACCGTTCCAACTAAGACAGAACATAATTAAAGGAGGCATGGACATTAGCGAAACGTATCAAGTATTTAGTTCAAATCTACCAATTCTGTTCTTATATATATTTTTACACTTTATGCAGCTTTACTCATTATCGTACAGTCAAATGGTTTTAAAACCGCTATTAAAAAAAAAAAACTTTTCGAAACATTCCTTTAGAAACTATAATTTAAATACATTTGTATCCTAAATGTACTGCATTTTTATCAAGAATTTCAAATCATGAGTTTGCAAAATTCACAGAATATATGTGCAAAATGTTACAGAAATATTGTGCAAAACATTAGTTTGTATTTTGCTTATATTTGGATGTTTAATTTAGCACGTTTCTATAGTATCTATAGTTGCTTCTCTCACCTGCTTGTAAGCCATCCAGAGGCAAAATTCTCTGCCCCAGCATTTTCCCATTTTCATCAAATACAGCTATTCGTATAACTGCTAAATCTGGCAGGACAACCTGTAAGTATGAAATTTGCATTTAATTTTTTTAATAGATGCAGAAACTTTGGAACAGAATTTACAACCTAAAGCTTACGTTTATAATACAAAAGCAACTTAGAATACCTTTTTTAATTATTTTCAAAACTTCTTGTCATAAACAAGATCACACACACACACACAGAAAAAAAAAAGAAAAAAAGAAAAAACGCAAAAGAAAGAAGGAAAGAAAATATATGATTTTTTTTAAAGTTTAAAAGGGCTAGCACACGAAGCAATAAATATTAATATTTAAATTTACAAGTTCCAATATCTTGAAAAGAATAGGAAAAAAGAAGGTTTAATTCCACATTGATTGAAGGAAAAGCTTTGAATAAAACATAGGTTTTTATTCTTTATTATCAAGCATTATTTTCAGAATCAACAAAATATTTATTTTTCTTCATCTTTAATTCTGAAAGCTATGCTTGTTAATTTTACTACTAGTTTTTATTTTTAATTATGACTTGATAATTCCCATATATTTCAATTAAATGATGTTCATTTCTATGCTGGATTACTGTGGCATAGTTAGATTTAGCAAGATATAATCCCTTTATTATTATCTGTTTCCTTTTACAAAAAACTACCTTCCTAATCAGCATGGAAATTAGTGTAGATGGATAAATTACTGATGGGTAAATGTCAAGAATCCAGCTAAAGTATTCCTTTTCTTCACTAGATAGCGCTACGGTGCTCCAGGAATGAGTGATTACCACATTAATATTTTACTCAATCAAAACGATTTGTGAACGTTAGTTGAACGTAATTACCCCATTTGTTTTGTGAGAGGGTTATAAATTAAATTGCTTTTTGTACGGCTTTGCATTATTTTTATTTTTTAACTTTTATGAGCTAAATGTACAATAAAAACATTGTTTTTTCCCTTACGTTATACTTATTTTTTATACAAATAAATTTGATATTCTTCTTTATGTTCTTAACATTTAAACTGAATTTAAGATCAACTGATTTTACGGTTACCTCAACTTGCTAGTAATATTTAATTTTTACAATCACTTGCAGAAATTGTAAGAAAGAAAAACACCTGTGGAAAAAAAAATAAGGAAAATAATAGAGGAAAATTTTCTTTAGTAGTATTTTATCATTTTTCAAATTATTGATTTTGAGAAAATTTGAGCATTACTTCTAAATGCATAAAACATAATAAAGTGTAACGAACTTTTCTGAAGACGAAAGGTTCCTCGTTGTAGACAGGGTTCAGGCCGTTAGCAGGCACGAGTCTGGTTCTAAATTCCTTTCTTATGGTGTCTGTGGGCAAACCGTACATATCTACTTCTACGTAGGTCCCGACTTTTTTGTCCGACAAGAACTGTCCAGATATAACTCTGACAGAACACTGAGCTGCAATCACACCATCCACTGGAGATTCTGCAAAAGGATCAAATGTTCTGTCTTTGCGGCGCATGAAATCGGGTTTTAAAAGGTACCTGAAAAGTAACATATTTTTAGGTATATTAATGACAAGAAATTATTTTAGAAAAACAAATTTCAAGCTTACGAATTTATTATTTTATCAGTTAGTATTTCTTACACAGTTTATTTATATCATTAAAATATTAAAACTGATTTGAGATTATCGTGTTCTAAAATATTATAATTTTGTTATCTTACGTGCGCATTTCCTTATATTGCTTTTACATTTTAATCGTTTTGGAAATTCTGTTTAGCTCGGAACATTAATGTTAGTTTGAAACAATAATTCATATATATTTCGGCTTGTTTAATCATCACATAGCTAGCACTTTGTGCTTTCTTTTTGTCAAATCTTTTTCTTTAGCTGTTTCTTTATCACAACAATGTATTAGAACTGAAATTGAGGAAGAAGAGGCAAATATATTCATATCTGTAAAGAACTGTACAGTTAAAAATAGTAAAAAAAATTAATAAACACTTAATAACTATTAAGTTTTAAATAGTAATTAAAAATATATTTAATTTTTAAATAGTAAATTAAAAAATTCGTTGCAAGAAAAGCTCATCAACATAACCGAATGTACCTAATTTTCTGAATATTATGAAAGAAAAAAAAGCCAACAATTACTTTCATCAACAATCCTTTTGCATTACAAAAGAGTGTAAGACAAAACATTTTACTAAATACTGTCAAAAGACCTTAAGTAAATGTTATGTTACGAGTTTTATTAAACTAATGAAACAGGCTATAAAAGTCAATATTAATAAAAATGTTTCTGGAATTAAATATCAGTTACTTGATGGACAAATCAACCCTGACAATAAGCTACACTGTTTAGTTTTGGTGACCATTGTTTTAGTTTTTATATAATTTATAACTGTTTACTTTACGAAACATAAAGAATGCGATATAATGTTTAACACTACAGGAGAACGATATTTAGTTATAAAGGAACTGGTTTGTGAAAAAAATATCATGCTCAACCTGAGTTAAAGAAGAGAAAACAGATTACCAAGTATTAATGGTAAATGTTTTATAAATCCAAACAAAGTAGATTTTATATTTGCCACAGCAATTTCTGTTTTTAGAAAATTCAGTAACAAAAAATAAAAAATAAGCATAAAGCTTAGAAGCAAAGGTTTTCCAAAAAATCGATAAGAAATAAGATAAGCAGGCAAAGTTTCTGCGTTGATACTTTGATACGAAAGTGATCATCCAGGGTTTCTACTGCGTTAGCAGTATTTCTCTGCAACCCAATATGCATCCACGATGGGCCTGGTGATGAAGTTTGCATGGACAGATCCCTATGTGGGAGATCAGCATTCAAAAAGAAAGAAAAGTCCCCCAAACATGGCTTGGGTAAGTAAGTTTCTGCTAAGATGAGCTCATGCGCAATAATGCAGGCGACAGGTGATGGAATAAGCAGGTTATACTATCAGGTTCAATGTTTCTTCTAACCTTCTTCGGAAACATACAATGACCTGACTAGGAACAGAGAGCTTACTAAAGCTATGTTCACTAATTGTAGTAAGTAGACAGGATACAGGAAGGGTATACAAGACCCTTTATTTTCTTTATACAATGATTTCCGTACTTCGGAATAAATGACCCTCCACTCGGTCTAACGTAAAAGGTCTAAAATAAAACCTAAATCTATTTTAACTTTAGAATAAGATTGGCCTATAAAACGGACGCGTATGTAGCACGCAAGGGAGACGGTGGACACTACAAGAGATCATTTACAGAGGAATTAAAACCCTGGCCTGGAAGGCAATATGCAACGCTGTAACTTCGAGGTAAGCGGCCTGCTTCGAACTCACTGTTCCTCTCTCCTGCTTGCAAAAAGGCCACACTTAAATACTTGCGTTCGCCAGACAACTTTGCATAAATCCTTCACGCTTATAATTCTGGCCTTATTAGAAATAATAGTGATAGTAAAGATTAAATAAATACGTAGTAAAACTTAGAATCCTACATCTTCCCGCATAGTTTTTTTTGATACTGAGGTCTAAAACAACCTTTTTGAAACTTTAGCTCTAAAAACTAACGCAGGCCAACCTTTACAATCAATAACTTAGCTAGAACTATGAATTTAAAAGAAGAAATTTGTTACAAAGTAGCTCCCGGATACTACAACAATCTTTTTTTTTTTTTTTTTTCATCTGGACTGCATCTAAACAGAGTTTATTCAATTCTGGTTCTTCCAAGATCTGGAGAAACCGTTAATGAATTTAAGAATACATTGCAATTAACATATAGAATATACTTCTCTAACATTCTATTTCATTCATCCTATTTTAATTATCCCTCTCCCCGTGCTCTCTGACATGTGTTGTAAAGAACCCAAACACGTATGTTTCTGTCTACGTGTGCCACCTCCTCTACATCAAAACACTAACGTGTTAAAATTCAACATTCATACTCTTAACACACCCTACTTCAACTCTAACCTGAGTACTATTCTGAAGTGGCTAACTCTAAGTGTACGTAAGACCTAACTACATCATTCAACCTTACAATATTCACCATGATTAATCTTTACAGTCCACGATAACAAATTTTTAACATTACTTTTACCATATCACGTATTTCTAACATTCAAAATAACAGTTCACATGTATACAAGAACAAATCAACATGCCGTTAATTTCACATTGAAAAGACATTAGTAGTACATTGTTACTTCTAGTCTTTCAAAGCAAGTGCCAATTCTTTCCATTAATAATACTACATTTCAAAAAGTCTTTCAGACTAAAACTCTTTCTTGCTAGAATGTTTAAATAAAGTTAACAATAACTTTTACAATATTTAAGTCTTTACACAACGCTATTATACTCACTTAGTTTTACGCGCGAGTATTGAAAACATAATAAAAATCGGTCACAACTCATTTCTCGCCCTTTTGGCGATAAAGGTAGACCTCGCATGAGGTAAAACTTCTTGAAATCTGCCACTTGCAGTAAGATGAAAGATTAACTTAAGTTGTAATAACATAAATTTACTTATCTTTGTAATATTCAGACACCTTTCTGGGCCCATTTAAGGTCTGCAGATAGTAGCTGGTTGATCCTCCTTCTTGTACGGCTCTCCCTTCAGGGTTTCCTCTGAAGCTTCCGTTTTCACCATACGGCCACCCTTGAACACCTTCCTGCTTGCTTGTGGTATGGCCGTTGCAGGCAGCGGTCTTGGTGGAACCGGGAAACTTCTCGTGATCCTGCTTGGACCTCGTTTTGGCCGTTCAAATTTCTTGTACTTTTCCCCGCCGCTGATGGCTTCCGCATTCGGCGACTTTTGAGCGGAGAGTCTGTCGGATGAGTCAATCTTCCGTTTCACAGCCGGGTTATAGTTGCGTCCTTTCTTCCCGGTCCTTTCCACATACGTCGTCCTTCTCCCTTCTTCATTCGGGGGTTTCGTGCACTCTTTTTTGGACGGTGGAACGGCTTCTTTTTTCTTTTACTTCAGTTTTCGCGGGGCAATTTTCTTTTCACTTGCTTCTGTCTCTCATTGGCTTGCCCTTGTACTTGTCGTTTTCCCACTCTGAACTTGTACCTGGGTCTGCCGTACCGGATGCTGCAAAGATCTAAAAGATTTTCATTTTATTACGATCGAAGTGGTTTAATTTGATCAAGTTTGCGGAACAGGTTTCACCATTTCTTGCCTTTAACACTACAACAGCGTGAGTTATTTTTTCTATAACTTGGTCCTCAAAAGCGGGAAAAATTTGGCAGTTTTATCTCTGTGTGAGAGTGAATGCTTGATTTTTAAAACTCATCCCCTACTTTAGGTACTCCCCGCGTTTCAGTCATAGTAACTTCTGTTTTCTTTGTGCTACTCCGATTCTTTTTGCTTCTTTTTTAGTTTTCATATCACCCATTTTAAATTCTGGGGCTCTTTTGCACATAAAATTTTATCGAACGGTGTTATAACCTTTCTGCCTAGAAATAACTCAGGAGTTTTGCCCGTTGTATCATGTTTGCGGTCCTAAGGGCGAAAGCAATTCATTGACATAGTTTTCCCAGCTTTTATAAAATTTTTAACATCCTACGGATATGTCATCATATTTCTGTGGACCCCGTTCCGCTATATTTGATTGCGGCCGATACGGGACCATTTTAAATGACGTATGCCCAGTTTTTGGCACATGTCTTCAAATATATTACTTACAAATTGAGGACCATTATCCATATAACTTTTAGGGGCGCAACGTAGTTTAAAATATATTATTTAAATAGAATCAGTAACTAATTTCGCGGAGGCTCGTTTTAAGGAACAATTTCGGTCCCATTTACTAAAATGATCAACCTAACAAGGAGATAGCGACTTTGTTTAACTGACTTTTGGGAAAGGGCCCAATAAATCGATGCCGATTATTTCATTTGGAAATTCGGATTTAATACTATTAGAAACCCCGGCCGGCGGAAATTATATAATTAACGGCTTGACATGTTGGGCAGGACTGGACATACGCCCTTGTTAACTTTTGCAGTTCAGGAAAGTAGACTGCCTCGCGTACGCGTTGGATAGTTTTTTGAATACCAGCATGAGAAGCTAAAGGGCTGTCATGGAGCTCTGCAGGATATTTAATCTAAGACTAGCTGGGATAAACAGGTCGAAATTCGTTGTTGGAATTCGTAGTTTTTGTGTCGAATAATAGACCATCTATTAGTTCGTAATGGGCCGCCTAATTCTTATCGCCACAATATCTTGGTGGCTAAATTTTTCAGGATCTTCAAATACTCATAAATACTTCCAAACTCAGGATCCTTACCCAGTTCGGTTATTACAGTTTCTCGGGAATTTATTGTACAGGCTGTCAGCATTGCCACCTTTTACGGTATTACCCTGTTCGGTCTAATTTAATTCGTGATAGGGCATCTGCTACGATATTTTCCTTTCCGGGGGTATGCTTGATTACCAGATTATATTCTTGCAGCTTGAGTGCCCATCTTATTAACCTTGGGATAAATTTTTCCTGAGTACAATCTAGTTTACCGCCGCATGATCAGAATATACTGTTATCGGCGCCTTCCAAAATAGACTCGGAACTTTTGCACTGCTAACGAACTGCAAGTGCCTCTCTCTCGGTCGCGGAATAGTTTTCTTTGTGTTTGATTTAAAGTTCGGCTAAAAAATGCCACGGGCTGCTGATTTTGCGAAAGTACCGCTCCTACCGCATAATCCGAAGCATCCGCTGAAATTTCTAAATTTTCATCCTTTTCAGGAAATTTCAACACAGGGCTTGCGTTAATGCTTGTTTTTAATTTTCGAAAGCACTATTGGCTTCGGCCGTCCACGAGAATCTTGCCTTTTCCTTTTAATTTTAACAATGGCTCAGCGATAGCCGCAAAATCTTTTATAAGGACCTATAATATGAACAAATCCTAGAAAAGAAGAGAGCTTCTTTGCCGTTTTGGAGTCGATACTTTTGTACAGCGATTATTTTTGATTCTCTGTTCGATCCCTTTTTGATATTTTGAACCTAAATATTTTAATTCATGGGCTGCAAATTTGCACTTTTCGACATTAACTTTTAGACCGGCCTCATTTAATCAAGAAAACACCTGTCCTTAAATCCTGTATATTTTGGTCGAGATTATCACTAGTAATAATGATATCGTCTAAATAGATAAATGTGGACTTCCAAGAACAGGTCTTAACACAATGTCCATGCATCGCTGAAATGTTGCTGGGGCCCTTAAAGGCCAAACGGCATACGCAAAAATGCATAAGTGCCAGACTTGGTTATAAAGCAGTCTTAGGCACGTCCTCAGGCCTAACCCCTATTTGAAAATAACCATTCGTTAAGTCTAAAGTCGTCATAAATTTGGTTGATTTTATGTTCCTTAAAATTTCTTCTATGATCGGTAACGGATATACCGGATATTTCGTTATGGAGTTTAATTTACGGTAATCAATAGCGAATCTCCACCTTTTTGGATGCGTCAAAGGATAGTCATTATTTTTCTTACATAAAACCACGGGCGCATAACTACTTGAGATGGGCGTTATGATCTTTTTACGTAGCTATCGGTAATATGCCATTCTATAATTTTTTCCTTATTCTTATCATACCGGTATGGTTTTTGACGAACTGGCATGCATCTCCGGTGTCAATACTATGGTTAGTAACCTGAGTAAATCTGGAATATCACTAAATAACGAAGCAAATTCACTTACCATTGTCGGATTCTATCTTGCTCGTCCATAGGCAGGTGGTCAAATTTAACCTTGGCGGTTCAGCCTTTTCTACAGAACTGGTTTCATTGTCAGCTTAAGGGACGCTGCATTAAAATCCAGTGTAGCTTGTGCGTCTGAAAGAAAGTCTATTCCAGATTAAATGTGCTTGCAGATTCTTACTATAAAAAACATCACCTTTACTTGTTCGTCCTTGATACGGATGACAAAGGTACTTTACCTACGCACTTACATTGTTCTCCTTGCGCCGCTAATACTGTTGTATATCCGCATTATTATGCGGTATTTGCGAAAATACTTTCTAAAAAAACTTCTGCCACACAGGAACACTGCGCGCCGGTATCCAAGAGTGCGGTTGGCTGGGATTATTTACCAAGACTTCAATCTTCGGAAGAGTTAAATTTTTCACCATTACTGTATTTAACTTGTAGGAAGAGGGGTTTTCGTGGCCTTCGGATTTCCGCACCCTCTCGTCAGCAGAAATCCGTTTTAGTTTAAATTTATTTTTCCTTTCGGTGCTTTCCTTCTTTTCTCCACTGGCCTTGAGACTTTTTTCCTGGGTTGCTATTGAACTGTCGACGTTCGCCGGCTGTTTTGAATGCTCGGGTTTTCCTTGCCCACTGATTCGCTTTCTTCCGTAGCCGTGTGCTTGAGTTTGCTGTAGTCTTGGCGTACCAAATTGGGTTTCGCTGTTGATATTGGCGTCTTCTTTCAATGTCCGCCGTTCTTCTACTTTCAAACTGGATTGCTAGCTCAAATAACTTTTCCAGTGTAGTTCGGATTCCTTAATTCAATGATAAGTCTTGTACTTGGGGAAGTAACCTCGGCAAAATCACTTGGATTATTTCAGGATCCGGCCGGCTTCCATACAAAAGAGTTTGAAAGACGTGAATTTTTCTTAAAATAAAGTTTGAAGAGATTTTCGATTCGTTGCTGGTATATGCTGAAGAGTTCCGCTTCCTAATTTCGCACGATTTCTTACGACAGGGAAGGCTTTTACTAAGGCAGTCTTGAAATTTTCGTAAGTATAGGTGGGAGTTCCCTGCTTGACCCAAGAGGTTTCTTGCCTACACATTTCAACCAAGTTAAGCTCTTGGCCCCTCAAAGCGCTGGTAGCTAAGGTAACTTTCTGGAAACTCGTGGCACTGGGTATAGCATGAAAGTGGTCATCCAAGTTTTCCAAAAAAAACTGGTTCACCGGTGAGTTTCCATCAAAGCTTACTGCTGGTTTCATCGAATGCGCGCATGGTCTGGACGATGTAACCAAATCCTTCCAGAGCGGCAGCTGGCATTTCTGGATTCTGAGCCGTTTCTGCAGGCAGCACAGGTTCTTCTTGAAATTCGGCCATGGTTATTCTTCGTCGGGCGCCACTATCAGGTTCAATGTTCCTTCTAACCTCTTCGGAAACATACAATGACCTGACGGAACAGAGAGCTTACTAAAGCTATGTTCACTAATTGTAGAAGTAGACAGGATACAGACGAAGGGTATACAAAACCCTTTATTTTCTTTATATACATGACTTCCGTACTTCGGAATACCATGACCCCCACTCGGGGTCTAACCGTAAAAGGTATAAAAAAAAACTAAACTCTAATTAACTTTAGAATAAGATTGGCCTTATAATAACAGGAAGCGTATGTAGCACAGAGACTGTGAACACTACAATACGTTTAATTATCAAGAGGATTAAACCTCTGGCCTGGAAGGCAAATAGCAACTGCGTAACTTCTAAGGGTAAGCGGCCTGCTTCGAACTCACTGCTTCCTCTCTCCTGCTTGGCAAAAAAGGCCACACTTAAATACTTGGCGTTCGCCAGACAACTTTGCATAAAATCCTTCACGCTTATAATTCTGGCCGGAAGTAGAAAATAAGAAGTGATAGTAAAGATTTAAAATAAAATAAACGTTAGTAAAACTTAAGATCCTTACAATACGTCCCACGTCCTCCTCTGATTCAGAAGCGATAACTCCCTAGAGTTCCATGACAGCGCGCTTAAGGGAATTTTGACAAATACAGATACAATGCTTAAGTTCGCGGTTCGCCGTTCATTGTAATTCGCAAGATCACACTATATTGCACTAAGTGTTCAGACTGCGCACGAAATGCACTGCAACTCTGCATTGCGGAACATATGCTATTTTGTTGACTGTGAAACTGCAAAAGTGGTTTTATTGCCCTTACTTTAAATCAGTACGCAACGCATTTAAAATCATTCAAATATACCTCTCACCTGTAAGAAGGGAAAATGTGCGCGGAATTATCTTAAGTCATGTCCCCCCCAACTGGAATAGCCTATTAAATCTATTCTGTTAATAGAATTGGATATCTACTGTTAGGTTAAGTATATCCTGACAATTGCACTTATTACTATTCTTTACACTACGAATTGAGTAGTGCTATAATGTATCAATTATAGTAGTTAGAATAGTGTAGTGGTAAGATAGTGTGATTCTTTATAATATGAATAATTCTTTATAATGTGATTCTTTATAATAATTCTTTATAATATGAATTGCGTAGTGGCTAGAACGTATCAATTGCAGTAGCTAGAATAGTGTAGTGCTAATATAGCGGCTAGAAATGTTATTATATATCAGTGTTATTTAATCATTCCACTACATTAATTGAATGCGACATTTGGATAAATTTGATACAATCACTAAATTTTCTTGAAATCCTCACAACAGAAAACCATGATATCTTTACTCTGTATGAGGAACTTGACCTAATTTCTGAGGTAAATCGTACGCTTTCATGGCTTTTCCGATATTCGGTATAAAACAGTTCTCACAAACTTTCTTTATAAAAACCAACCACCTGTAGCAGGTAGCTTCAAGTATTTTATCACAATTCGTTAATAAACTATATTTGTCCGTTTTTTAATTGATAGTTTTACAGTTAATTTAGTTTAAAATTGATGCTGTTAAACAATTTTAAATGGACATAAGTGTTATGCTTGTCAGTATATAAGCTGTTGAGATCATTACCAAAGTACTTCTTACTTTACTTACTCCACTGACAAAATAGTATTGAAATGGTGCTTTATTTAAATCTTGGTTATCAAAGTATTAAACTTTTATAATATTTAAGCATTAAATTGTTATAATATTATTGCAATAACACTGAACTATCCTATTATTTTCTCACAACAAGTTGCCATAGATATAAAATGATGTCTTACCCACATCCACCATTGTATTCAAATTTGCCTTGATTTAATTGCATGGGCAAGTCTGAAGTTTGAAAATTCAAGGCAACCATCTGGCAGCCAGCATTCCAAAAGATCTGTAATTTGTTTATATTATCATCTTCCATTCTGAAGCAGACTTCATCACATACATTTAACCTTTGGTATTAGTTGATAACTTACCTGAGGCATGTAGTTACTTGAATCAGCACGAGTTCCTTTGGGATAAATACGACTCATTTGTCGTTTGTTATAGCTAGTTGGTAATTAAGGAACTCAATATGAAATTTTTGAATGCATTCAATTTTTAAAGCAGTACCAAGAGAAAATAATTTTTTTTATTATGATCCTCTGTAAACGGAAAAAAAGCAAAATAAATAAAACAAGAACGTATTTGTTCTTAATTTCAACTTTTTTGGCATATTAAAACATAGTTACTAGTTCTATTATCTTCAAAACGTTTTTTTTAAATAGCTCTCTTTTAAAGCTGACGTGTACAATAAGTGTGGAAAAAGAAAGTGCTTAACAATTCAGCACGAAAATGCCATGGCCCATTATTTTCCGCAGGCTGACAGAAGTGCGGAGCCTACAGATTACCAAAGCCTTATATTAGCCTTATATTTACCATTCCCGTTGACATCGGATATAAGGAGTACATAAGTACTCAGCTTTATTACAAAGAATACACTGCACATTATTTTAAAAAAATGCATGGAAAACAAACATTAGAAACCACCAATAATAATAATAAATTCTGCTAACCTTGCCATCAGTTGCAAAAAAAATGACTTCAGGGTTCATGGTTCTAATGTCACCTGCAGACTGTTAGTTGTCTAGCTCCGTAGCAAATAAAGTAAAATTACTTCATAATAAACTGCAAGTTTTTATATGTGACCATAAGGAGATCTAATATATTATTGCGATTTTGATTTATTATTGTTTATCAAGTACTTAACAATTTTAAATAAGTATTATACTGGCTTGTATATAAGGCAGATAAATGAAACGTTTTGTCAATACTAAAAAGGAGGCTAAAGTTGAGTAAGTCGTACTCCCTAAGAAAAAATAAGTATAAATCTTATGATCTATGAAAAAAGTAAAAATTATGTATAGTAATGATATCTTGTGTTGTTATTGCTGATACTTATTATGATATTATTGCAATAATACTGAATATTATTGCAATAAACTGAACTAAGAAAAAACAAGTATAAATCTTAGGATCTATGAAAAAAGTAAAAATTATGTATAGTAATGATATCTTGTATTGTTATTGCTGATACTTATTATGATATTATTGCAATAACACTGAATATTATTGCAATAACAATAAACGAAGAAAAAAATAAGTATAAATCTTGGATCTATGAAAAAAGTAAAAATTATGAATAGTAATGATATTTCGTGTTGTTATTGCTGATACGTATTATGATATTATTGCAATAACACTGAATATTAATGCAATAACACTGAATATTATTGTAATAACACTGAATATTATTGCAATAACACTGACTATTATTGCAATAACACTGAATATTATTGCAATAATACTGAATATTATTGCAATAACACTAAACTAAAAGAAAATAAGTATAAGAATTAGGATCTATGAAAAAAGTAAAAATTATGTAATGATATCTCGTGTTGTTATTGCTGATACTTATTATGATATTATTGCAATAACACTGAACTAAGAAAAAATAAGTATAAATCATAGGATCTATGAAAAAAGTAAAAATTATGTATAGTAATAATATTTCGTGTTGTTATTGCTGATATTTATTATGATAAACTCCCAAACAGTCTACTCTCTCGAATAACATTAATAAAACTTATTAACATGAACTTAATACGACTTAGAAACAAGTATTTTAAGCGGTACCACCTATAGTCGTCATACTACGTTTTAAACTGGACAATTATAACAAAACTTTCATTCTCTTAATTTATTTTTTATACAATTAATTACAACGATGTTTACAAAGATATTTTTTCACTTTATTATCAGCTGCAACACATACTAAGTCGTGTACCCATCCTTTGCATTTTAGGCACTGAATCATATTGCCTTCGTGGCTTTCCTCACAAATATTACAGGAAGACGAACAGGATGTGAAACAATAACGATTGACTAGCGCGTAACACTTTTTGCCGGAAGAGGCGCAGTTGGCGTGATATTGCACTAATGTTTAAAAGGTGAGATTTCTCACCCTATATATGTTCAGCTATTCGTAAAATGTTTTTATTATCGAAGTCATGAGAATCTGGCAATCGGATATTTCTTAATTTTTACCATTTCGTTATATTAAGCTTCATGAAGAAAAATTTAAACATTTGATATTAAAACATAGACGGAGGATCACTACTGCCCTAAATTTATTAAAATATTTAATTATGCTTAATAAAGTGTTTTTTTAGTAACAAGCAAACCGTATTGAAATTTCGTTTTTTTTGGGGGGGGGAGTGATGAGGTAAATTGATCTCTAGAAAGACAGAACAATCACGAAGATAAAATGACAAATGCTTTAAATGCTTTTTCCGAAAAGCAAAACAAAATGTACTATGATCTAATTTAGTCTTTTTCATTATACATTTAAGGATATATAAGTGATACTGAATGAAATATTTTAATTAACTGCTATCTTAATAAATTTCTCCTATAATTATTTCTGTAGGTTCTTTCATTTTAATTGATTTGATTTTTCATGCAGAATTCTATAGTTGCAAAGGATACTTAACAAATTCAATAGCTTGTGACTTCAAATAGCCTAGTGCAGCCGTTTCGGCAAAAGATGACATGTTATGATGTATGTTCTTTTCTGCGTAAAAGAAAAAAAAATACGTCTAAATAATAAGTAATTATAAAAATTTGAAGTTGAATAATTTATAATTATTCCTTAGATTAGTATTTTATTAATACCCTCTTTAAATCTACGCACTATTACATAATTTTGCAATCGAGAAATGAAAGTATAGTTACCTTCAGCAACATCGAATCCTTGGAACTTTATAGGTTGGGCATAGTTAATCATTGATGAAAGATAAGGATGGACAAGCGTTGTAGCCCCAGTGTATTGATAATTTGCCATGGCTGCTTGTTCTTCCGAAACTTCCTATTTTTACAATAATAATAAAGAATTTTGTACTAAAAAGAAATTAATACTGCGTAATTTTAATTCATCTTCGTTTAAGAATAACTGAAGAAGCAGAAGGTAATGATAACGTATAACTTAAAAAAATGTGAACTACTCATATGAAAAAACAAATAACTAAATATATGGTATAGTGTTCAAAATTAACCTTTTATGTAAATTCTTCTTAGTATTATACACATTTTTACAGCATCAATTAATGTTTGTGAAAGAATTTTTAAAACATTCAACACTCCAAAGTCCTCCTGACGGAGTCCATTTCCTTAACTAATAAATAACTGAGGACTGTTTCTGATACTGAAATGCAGCTTTTCTAAGGAAAGCTTCATCTAAAAACCATTTAATAACCTAAATGCTTCAAAGTGCAATAATACTTCAATAATTTTAAAATATGCTACTTTTTCTTGTGTTTTTGCGAAAAATAAAATTTCCTATATTAAATCTGATAAATCTCGTTATAATCTTGCAGTGATGAAATACATCACCACTAGTTGAACACCATTCGCAGATATTCATCTCGAGATGTTCTAAGCTTTCATCTAATGCGTGCTGCATAATCCATGAAAAAATATTATTGCTAATTCTATACCTCTTCTTTTGAATAAATATCTTTTACATGAATGGCGACAAAAATTGAGAGAGAAGTAATTAATTAATTAAGGCACAAAAATCTATAAAGTGAAAAGAAACGTTATGTTAACAAGTTTTATGCTAGAAAAGCATAGAAGCTTTTCCAAGACATGCAAACAATGAGTCTACGAAAACTAAATGAAATTTACCTACAGATTAATTAAGAGTGCAGTATAATGTAATGTGTGCAATAATCTACATCAAATAACAAAAGTACGAGAAACAAAAGTTATGGCAAGTATTTGCTAGGATCACTCCTAAGCATGGATAAATTAACTCAATCAGGGGCAAGCTATAAGTAGATGAGCATCTCGGCTTCTCGTAGGTGTCTTATAATCTAAGAAGATGAGTAAAATTAGATATTTAGCACGTTAAATTAAAGGATGCATTGTCACCGTAAAATGTATGGGTTATTAGATCTGTAAAGCAACAATAGTAAAACTGCATTTCTGAGGACAGCCTTATTGGGTCTACGTGGGTATGCTACTTAGAAGACATAGGAACACCTAGCGAGCAAACATGAGAATGGTGACCGGAGCCGTTACAGACTATGGTAAACAGTACTTTAAATTTCCCGGCATAATTAAGCTACGTAGACGATACTTTTATTCTGTTTGAAGGTAATAAAGATGATTTAAATAAAGTTCTTTCAACAATGAATTTCATTAATCTTGCTATTCAGTTCACCTTTGAACTTGAGACTTGCAATTCTCTTCCGTTTCGACATTCTGGTCACACGTAACACATCCAACTCAGTTACAGTTTCCGGCTCGTACTTACCACATAACGATTCCGGAGCTTCGATGGCCCTGCAAACGAATGGGCAGCATCTCACAACTATTGACACCCTCATTATCAGCATGGGCAGACGCTGTTGAACTGCCTAGCAGTCGGGGAGATCTATCCCCTATTAAGCGATGTTTCTTGCTGAACACCCATCACAGGGATGTTTCGGCCTTCAGTCGCATGCGCTCCATACTACTTTTCATAAAGCTTTTTATCTCTGTTCTCTTTAGTAGTGTTGCTTACTCGCATGTCTACGTTTGGGGATCTTACGGTATTAAATGTGATTGGAAAGCTTTGTACAGTAATGAAAACCGTCTCGTCCTTAATTTTTGCACACCAGTGTATTTCTACTATTTTGGTCACAGCAATCAGCATATATTGTGATAACTTTTCCCCCCCAAAATTTCAGCTGCAATAAAATCTTTTCAATAGCTCATCATCAATGTATTCCTGTCTGTAACGAATTTAATATAGTAATTCAAGGAACATTTATACTCTTCTCTGAAAAATACAAATAATACTATGATGAACATTATGATGAATTAAATATTGCGAAAAATGTAACTGATAATATGATAAAAGTCAGCTGAGGCCTTGTTTAATTTTAACACTTAAATTTTTAGATATTTTTGATTTATTTTCAAACTGGCATCAACGATAGCTTTGATATTTTCAGGTAGAATATATACGAACTGTAACTAACAAATTTCATCTATTTCGTCATGTTTTGTGAATTTGAATTTCTTTTGATTTAACTGCATTTTTTATATATTGAGTGAATTTTATTTTAAAAACACTATAAGGTATTTTATCTCCTTTTTTACATGCCTTCGTGGTGTATTCAGGGCCTATTCGAGACGTCCAGGTTCGAGGATCGGCGAGGGCATTAATTGTTTTTCGTGCTTCCTGCTTCAAAATGCCTTCGTGGTATAACGGCAGCACATTCGGCGCGTATTCGAGAGGTTTAAGTTCGAGTCCTGGAGAAAGCACTGCACAATTTTCATGTCTCCTGCTTCAAAATAACCTAAACACTCTACAGTTGCACCCGAACTAACAGGTGGTGGATGATGATTCTTCATCTACAGGATTTGGTGATTGGGTCCTCTAATCCCCAGGCATTCTTTAAAATACCTTCCTTTCTGCATGCCTTTGTGGTGTAACGGTAGCACATTCGACGCGTATTCGAGAGGTTCAGGTTCGAGTCCCGGGGAAAGCATTGGTCAATTCTTCAGTTTCATGACATCGAAAAAAGCCCAATGTCTCTACTACACGAACCAATAATTGATCCTTCTTTCTGTGCAGTCGTGGCATTCATATATCTAGAAGGGGATTCCACATGTTTTCCAACATCTTATTTCTGTAATACAGTTGCATGTCTGCTGTAACAGCTTTATGCCTTCTTCGAACATTTTACATCTGTAACTCAATTTCATACATGCTATAACATCTTCATGATTGCTGCAACAACTTCTTATTACCTGGAGAAGGACCAACAACCCTTCGTATTCCATCCACAATAAACACCACTGTGTAGAACAGCAGAACAGGACAAGAACGGAGGACATCAGAATTTTACAACTTGGTCTCATACATACGTACAGTACCATCGTGCAAACAGCACATTTCCGTTCCAATCTTGGTGAAGGGAAAATCCCGGGAAATAGATTCGATTATCTTCTTCTTTCCTTCTCATACGTTAGTATTTTATGTGTCCTCATGGCGCATAGAGACTACGCACTTACAAACATCCGTGTGTTCTCCGAGATTTTAATTTGATCCTCAGGATATAGCAGCCAGTATCGCCAACCACTATACTAATTAGGATGGCATGTCCAACACAGCATGGAACACAGGTATGGAAACAAATACTAAGTGTCAGTTTTGGGATTATTAAAATAAGCATTTTTTTCTTTACTTTAAATTTATGATCAAAGAGAGGACCTACACTAAGAGCTTCTCAGAGCTTACGGAATTTCTAAATCATCACGTACTTCTTTATAATTCTATTTTTCTTTATAAAACAAGAAAAATGAGCTTTGGGATCCAGAAAAGTTGCTCTGTTTTGGGCCTCAGTTATACTGGCCCAATTCACAAGCAAACTGACTCAAGTCAGATCGTAAGACTGCCGAATACTGGTAGTTCGAACTGATTTGGTTTCAATCCCAAGCGAACGGGGTAGCTGCATAATTGACTTTTGTGGTTTTCCCCCATGTGTTACATGAATACGTGCCTTTCCCTCAGATAATCATCCATGAAGGCATCCCTTCTCTTAGGCAAATAGACCTTGCGGCTTTGCCATATTGGAATAACCTAATCTAACCTTAAGTCAGAGCGATTCCATTTTACTGACAAAATTTACTTGCTATATACGGAGAATAAATCTGCACATTTTGTGGAAACTACAGGTATAAGTTGTTAGTAAATGGTGTTTTATTATTGCTTCAAATATGTGAGAAAGAACATTTTTGATGTCCTTAATGCAAAGGTGGTTCAAAGAATGTAAATTATATTGCTTAGTGTTCGTATACTTTCTGTTCGTATACTTTCGCATGTCTGTACATTACTTTAATTTTTTGGCAAAGGAATACATTTCAAAATTAAAATTGGCTGGGTTCTCATTCCGAAGTTTCCGACTTATTCACAATACTTAGGTCCATCAATTTTTATTTGTATGACATGTAATAGTTTTCTGTAGCATATGACAAACGTATTAAAAGCTATTGCAGAACAATGCTAAATTTTAAAGGTAAATATTAGATATTTGTCGAAAATAATTAAAGCCATGTAAGATAATTCATGAATCTGAATATATAAGGTCTAATTTTAAAACTTTAAGTGCAATAAAAGAACAATTCCTTGGTTCTTTACCTTGGAAAAAGATTTTATATAGTAAATCCTCGTTTTCTTACCTTCTTTTCTGAAATTAAAAAGAAATAAGAATGAGTTCCTATTACAAGTTTTAAGAGTGCTTTTACGTTACAATTTTGCATTATAATTTCTTACATTTTTTATTTCAACAATATCTCTGAATAATAATCCGCTAATTTTCTTATTAGAACAATTTATTCGAGTTCTTAATAAAATTATAACATTTGCTTAGTTGCTAATGTTAATCATAACACTTGGTAAGTAATAATTATTGCTAAATTCTATCACTGTACTGAATGAGAGTTATTAGAGAAATAGTTTATATCTTTTGATAAGATTTATTTTCTACGTTCAAAAATAGATGCTACAATAAGTAAAAGTGTATTTTGCTATCGAGTTTATCAAATGTTATTTTGGAAATGAAAAAATTTTGTACAAATTACTTCTCAGAAGATAGTAAAAAAATATTAATTTTTTTACATAGAACTTTAATTTTTAAAGACTTTTGTGTCTTTTTTTCCCATGCGTACATTTATAATAAAAAAGGCAACAAATCATACCTTCTGTTGATGTCTGTGCCTCTCCTCCTTCATTTTGCGGATTATCTGCATTTTCTTCGTCATCATCATTTGCTAACTGACCTCGCATAAACAATTCAAGTTCCTCTGAAATAGTAAGAATGTGTTAACACTTTTGAAAACATTTCTTATTTAATACAGGTATCTATCTCATGTTACTGCCAAAAAAAGTCGCAAATTTTTTGCTTGTAAATCATTTTATTAATAATAAAACATTGGATACATTCACAGTAGAAAATGCTCTAATATAAAACCTGCATAAATTTAAAGGCCGATTTCATTGCAGAATATACAGAAGGAGGACAAAATAAATACGAACACCTGTGAAATGATGGAAAAGCTTTATTAATAGGGGGTTGGACCCCCATTTGACTGAAGTACAGATTAAATACGACGTAAGATAGATGCATAAAGGTCATGGACAATATTTAAAGGATTTAAAGGTAATGGACAATATTTAAAGGTCACGGACAATATTTAAATTTTCCTAATTGAAATATATAAATGAAATATTGTACCAGAAATACAAACTAACATGCCACAGTAATCACGATATGCTTCTGTTATGATTATTAAAATCGCTCAACAGCGTTATCTCTTTTGAAATAAAATCAAAAATAAATATTAAATAGGCATTGTAAATTTACCTAATTTTTCAGTTATTAGTAATTTTGTTAAAGTTGCCAATTAAAACTACTTTAGTTGTAATGTACAAGTACTTTTCCTTCCAAAATAGTAAATGTATAATTAATAATAAATGCAATATTCCAAAATAGTTAATAATAAATGTATAAGATTTATATTATTATTACTAATGGTTATTTAATTTGTTAGCCTTTTCTGTCACTTCTTGTTTCCCTTGAGTTACCTCCTTTTGTAAATAAGCTATGGCGGAGGAAAGTATATTTAAACTTAAGTAGCGAAAAGGTTAGTCAGTGCCTGTTTTTGTTATTGAGGCACACGTTATTATTTCTACCAGCTGTTTAAATTCTGAATCTCGGATTCTCATTTTTGCCGCCGAAGTTTAATGTCACGCTCGTGTAAGTTTTTGACTCAACCTACTAGGTTAAATTAAATTCTATAGTCTTCAACTACTAATTTATGTTTAAATTTAGTTTAGTTTTTTATCATCACAGGTGGATAATGAATTCTGTAAACACAAAGATTATTCCGTCAGTTTACCTATGTTACAGTTCCTAATCTCCAAATTGTGCATGTCCGCATTCTTATGGGATTTTCCTATAGGAAAATCTGAGAAAATGCTTCGGCAGGAGAATTCATTTTCTGATTTTTCCATCAGAGGTGATGGAGGAAGCCGGATTAAATTACTTCTCGAGGTTGCAAAGGTATTAAGGAAATGGAGAAAATACTGCTGGCACTGAACGAACTTATGGCGAAAGTAAGAAAATATTAGCAAAATCTTAAATAATTTTTAATACGATTCAAAACCAAGCTGCCACATACAATGATCTAAAACTGGCTTATGGAAATAGACTGTATGACATATAAAAACTCACACTACGAGGAATCGGCTTCGTAATATCAAACTGACTGTACATTGCTCTACAGAAATCTGCTATTGACAAAGAAAATAACGTTTTTTCAGCTCAGATGGATAGAAAATCATTAGGGCAAGGTAATAATTTCCAAAGACTTCAATGGAATGGATTACGTGTGCCGTCGAGTTTTGCAAAACAGCAGACAAATTTTATAAAAAGAAACGATGAAGTTGTAGAGACATTAGGTATTTCTGGAAGCAGGCAAAAGGAAAAATTAGCAAACGACTTCGCCGGACGTCTGGAATACCGGACCAGCGCGCAGAACCACTACACCACGAAGGCACGCTAGGAAGGCGAGAGAAATACCTTATAATGCATCCATCCAATCAAATGGTTTTGTGATAAATTTCGCAGGCAGTATGAACCAGCTTTAACGCACAAATAGAATAAATAGTGCAGTATTCAGGAAAATTCGGCAGCGCTGTATAACAGAAATGTTTCATGATGGTAACTTCCAGAATTTCCTTTTTCAGTATGATGGAGAACCTGTGCTTAGTCAAAATAGTAAAAATTCAAACATATAAATCCTCCTTAAATCGCATAATACGTATATATAGGGTACAGATTGCGTACTATTTTCTACTATGAAGAGTTATTTCGAGAATGATAACTTAATTCGTTATCTCGACGTTGAAATTAGTTCTACTTCGACCAACTTTAGAAATTTGCTGTCCCCAATCAAACACAATATTTGCCATTAGAAAATATCGATGCAAAAGGAACGCACAAAGAATTCCGATCAATTTTTGGTATCACTGTCTAGACGAAAAATATATTTATCTATGCCGGACAAGCATGCAGTCATTAGAAAAGCAAAAAGGAATTCAATAAATAGGTAGAGAATGGTTCTTTTCCCCCTTGAGCTCCTCATTTAACTAATTTCAATCTTTTATAACATTATTTCTAGGAACAAATGAATTACTGTAATTTGCTAATCTGGAAATGTGACCAAAAGTAACCTATACCACAAATTACTGCTAATACATTGGCGAGAGAACGTAAAGTAAGAAAAAGATGCTTTATGTTAATTTCATTAAGTGATGTTCAACGAAACATAGTTGACTAGTACATCAAGATCAACGTCATCACATAGTCTAATGGGATTCACCTTCGCTACGTAGAAATACGCAAACTTTTCTGCCCGTTCTTTTAAAGACATTTGATGGATTTTGAGAAATGGCGTGCGGCTGGGAGAACGGAAGCAAATCCTAGACTGACACAGGTCTATAAAGATTTAAAAGTAGCCCAAAACGTCTTGTGAAGTCTGGAAGTCTTGTGAAGAATCTGAAAACAGTTCAAAAACACTAATGTTGTATGCAGAAAACTAGGTCAAGGTCAATTATGTGCCACAACATACACTCAATACCAATAGTTGGTTAAGATTTCTGAAGGAAATAGGTAACTGCCATAGCTCACATTCCAAAAGAGCCGCACCACAGCTGAATTACTCGAATATCCAGATACAACGAGAAAACTGCATAAAACATAGATGCAAGTCAGGAAACCCATGATTTGTGCCCCATTTAACTCGGGTTTCGAAATGCGTCCGGTTGCAGCGATGCAGATATCATTGCGAAAGGAGTATCAAGGTCAGGGGTTGAATTCGTTTTACTGACGACATTTTGAGGGGGGGGCATTGTTAGAATATAAACGGATAAAAACACACTGAATAAGCCTGAAAAAGTCAGCCTGAAAAAGTCAGCGAAAAGGATAAGTATAAAAATGATGAAATTGTGGTTGGGTAGACACCATTTTAAATGGCCGCACTGATCTACAGATTTACAGGTGCAGTTCTGATTACTTTAATATACAGAGATGAGAGAGTTCTTGATCCTCATGTCAAACTGTTTAGAAATGCAATCAGTAATAATTTTCTTGCAATGGATGATAATGCTGGCCCCCATAGTCCTGCACTAGTGTCCCATTATCTTGAGGGCGAAGGAACCTAGCGGAGAGCGTGGCCCACATATGTTCAGAATTTAAATCTGATAGAGTATATATGATAAATTAGGATGAAAACGCCCTCAATTATAATTTTCTAAAGACTTTATTAATCGCGAATAAATTTTGTTACCGCAAGAACTCATGGACAACATAATACATAGCACAGAAAAAAACTGTAAAACTTTCGTTTTGGTCAGAAGAGACCAAACATCTTATTAATTTTTTCCATGTATCTATAAAAAGTTGTAATACCAAATTTTTCCTACTTTACTATATATCATACTTCTTATGTTCTGGTTAAAATTAACTTTTCGTAAACGTAACAAATTCTACATTCTCTACATTCTGAAGCTTTGTAAAGCAAGACAAAAAGTTTGTGTAAGTTCCATGGTTTTAGCTACAAAACCATTCACGTTTCCTTAGCTATAAAATAATGAGTGTTTTCTGAGTTTTCCTCATGTGTAAAGTGAATATGAGCCAGTTTTCCTTTAAAAGGTCCTCCACAAAGGCATTCTTAACCTTAAGCAGATAGCCCTCGCTCACTTGTCACAATCAAATACGCCTAAACATTCATATTGCACGAGTTTTTATAGTTCTTTTTTCGACTTTTTTTTTTTCCAATGTAGTTTTCTGCATTTCTCGTCATTGTTAACGCATTTCACAAAACTCAAGATTATTTGAAAAAAGAAGTGGGAGAAAATGTAATCAGTTCTTTTGGAATGGATGTCTTAATGAAACATCCTGTATTATTCTCTTTGAATCGACTACAGCGCTCTCTAAGCAGGGCTTAATTTCTAAATTCTAAAGTGCCGGAGCCCTATGGAAAGCCGTCATGAAAAAGAAAATAATTAATTAATTAAATTATCATGATTAAATTAAAATTAAAGTTAAATAAAATATATGAAGATATGAATAAAAATTTAAACGGTATTTACGTATTATCGCAATCACCTTAGTAGAAATTGCCAGATTTTCAGAAATTGCGAAACTCTGGCAATCATGCGCATAATAGTTCTTTAGGCAACCATATCCATTGTAAGTTGCAATACGAAAATTCACTGAATCACCTTTTTCTTTCTGTGAAAGTCGCCAAACTGTGCCAAGGTTGTTGCGAAAATACGTAAGTCTCATTTAATAAATTATTATATTCATAATAAGTAGTTAAATAAAAGAAGTAAAATATCAGACGTCGGTTTATTTGGGGCTCCGGCTGTATTTATAATTTCTTTCAAAAACTGGGAAATAGTTCGACTGGCATCCGGCTGAATTTAACCCCTGAATATACTGTATAACGTTCTATTTCAAAGGATGACAGAAACAAAAACCAATCTTTTTCCAGCAAAAAATGGAAAAAACAAAAAACGATTAACGAGTCACTAACGAGAATAGAGAGAATGCTAGATACATTATGAAAGTATGGAAAGAAATTTTAATGCAGAAGTGTAGCTTCAAAAAAAAAGAGAGAAGAGTCTAATGCTTTCTGGCCGCGATGACCTGCCAATACTATTCTAGCTGTCAAGTAGAATACGATTGAGCAAAAAAAATTTCATCGAATCCGATCCGATCCGATAAGAACAGTAAAACAAACATAAGGCCTACACAAGTGACAATTCCCCCCCCCGTATTTAATTAAAATGAGAGGTCACTAATGGACGTGCATGACCAAGGCAATCACTTTCAGTACTTTCGGGGAACAAAACATTTCACCCGGATCTCTTAAATTCATTACACTTACCGGCAGAATAAGCCTTATACATATTGATGGGAGAGTTTTCTTTCCTTAAAATTGTGAACCTCCGCGAAAGTTCTTGTTCCCCAGTGAAAGACAAGCATGCATTCGAAGTTACAATCGAGTTTTAAGGCATATTTATATTTAAAATAAAATTTGTCTGTTGAAACTGCGTTTCCACTTACATAAAAGAAGTGCTGGAGCCCTTTTATTTATGGCTTCGATGCGCTTCGGGTAGCATTGCGATTTAAATCAGAAATTGAGAAGTACCGGAGCCGGTATGTTCCAGAGCAATTTAAGCTCCGCTCAGAAATTATATTATCGTTTGTATTTTTTTATAGTTTTGTTCTGGAATTCAATGGACATACTTGTTGAAAAATTAAGTTTAGCAATAATGCCTGAAAAATCTCTTTTAAAGTCTAAATAAAAAAATATGAAAAATTTTCAAATTATTTCATTTCATAATTATCGGTACGTCTAGCAACATGTATGAAAAATCACAACAGCTCTGGACTCAAAATACAAAAATTAGATTTTAGTTGACTCGTAAACTACACTCGGTAAAATTTCATTCGTGATTTAGCAGCAGAAAAATGCCTAATTTATACTGGAGAAATAACAGTCATTAGTTAATTAAGGTATCAAAATTAACGATGAAAATTCCTCGTTGTACGCTATCGATACAAAATTGTTTATTTTATAGAAAAAAAAAATAATCCCTCTCAAGATATTTTATTTTTACCGAAACATAAAGAACTATAATATGTTTTTTGGTATAATAAAGAAGTAAGCTTACTCCAGATTATATTCTGCAAACGCTATTGAAATCATACTTTTAAAGCAGGTACCGTGTTCTTCAAGTAGACGTATACATTAAAACAACTCAATGAATTCAATAGGTTAGGGAACAAAACGTATGTTTATTGTATTGGAATTCAGTTTTTGATAGATGCTGAATGCTTATAAACTTACGTTTTTCGACTTCTGGTTTCATTCTCTTGTTTTTAATAAGGATCTTCCTTTTCAAATCATTAGGACTCGGAAGAGGTCTTCCAGGTTCCAGCTGCAATGAATAGGAAAAATGTTAGTCTTACATGTTCCTAAAATTAAAGTAAATCCTTTTCGATTAACAAATGTTTAAAAAGTAAATGCAATTTTTTCCAGCTTTCAAATATATCAGAAAATATTTATGCTTCACAACACCCGAAATTTGAACTTCTTCTTGCATCATTTAAATTACTGCGAATTATTATTGAAATTAAAACCAACCTATGATGACTGAGACACAATAACACGCCGAATAAATACTAATTCAGAAGACAAACAAACAAAAATCAGCGTTATATTTACAAAATTTCCACAGGACTAGTTTCGACGGTTTTACCGAACCACCATCCCCAGCTGCTAGGTAGTCCTGTGGAAATTTTGTAAATATAACGCTGATTTTTGTTGTTTGTCTTCTGAATTACTATGATGACTGTTTCAGTAGAATAAAAGCAACTCAATCTCCTATTCTCCGTAAATTTCTCCTTCGGAAAGGAAAACAAGCTCTGTTTTCTTTTATGATATATGACAATTATTTTAAAATACTGGCTATACAAATACACTGCTGGCCATAAAAATTACTACGCCATGAAAGCGGCAAACAACAAACATCCAATTTGCATGACAGGTATTTCATAGTGGGATATGCAAATGGTGAGCGTTACAGCGCATGCGTACAAAACAGGTGTATATATAATGTCACAGTATACAAATGGGAAGACGGCTTAATGGGTTTCTTATTTGGAATTCGCATTTAAACGTTGGTTGTTTGTGTAAACGTGGTGCTATGCATCGTGTAAGAAGGGAAACTCCTACCAGAACGTATTGAAATTCAACCACGACAGGATCGTGGCCTATCGGGACTGCGGTTTATCATTTCGCGACACTGCTGCTCGTGATTATATGACTGTCAGGCAAATATGGAATTGATGGGTATAAGCGGGCTATTCTGAATTCCAGCGGCCCCGAGCCACTAATGTCCGAGAAAATAAACACATTGTCCTCTTGTGCTTGCAGGACCGTACAGCCATGTTACGGAGCTAGGAAGCTGGTTCGTATGCAGGACGGCAAGTGTCCGCACAGACAGTGCGACGATATCTGTTATCAGTACGGCGGCCATTGTTGCGGCTTCCCTTGATGCGGCAGCAGAGGCAAACGCGCCTTCAGTAGAACAACGGCATTGGATACAGGAGTGTCATCCCGTCTTTTCTTAGACTAATCCCAGTTTTGCTTACAGCACTCTGAGGGAAGCATGTGTGTGTAAAGGCATCGAAGAGAACGAATTTTGTTATCTCTTGGTCATCATCAAGGCCCAGCACATTCAACCACGACAGGATCGTGGCCCATCGGGACTGCGGTTTATCATTTCGCGACACTGCTGCTCGTGATTCTATGACTGTCAGGCGAACATGGAATTGATGAGTATAAGCGGGCTATTCTGAATTCCAGCGGGTAAGGGTGCCACTGTATACACATTTCGGTCACCTCTTAATCCCGTAGCTGGTAATACGGACAGTTGCTATTACATTTATACCGTATTAAGGCCCATTGCTTATGGTCTATCTGATGCCATTTTTCAACAAGACAATGAGCGACCACATATTGGCTGACCTGTCTTGACATCCCTCGATACAAAAGATGTTCGACTGTTGGCCTGGCCGACATGCTATCTAGTTCTCAACCATTGAGACATTCGATTATAAGCGGCGGAGAGATTGACACGCTTTTACTCGCTCTCTAAACGTGGCAAAGCTCACCACGGTTAATGTGCTTTGGCATAAACTTGAAGCTCCATGGAATCATGTACTCGTACCTATCATCCACGCTCAGTTCAGTTCAATGCCCAACCGAATTACAGGCGTTGTTGCTGCCAGAGGTGGCAGCTCTGTGTACTGAATTCTACATGCTTCCAATCACTTGCAAATCAATCCTCTTATTGTGCTGTATATATTACAGACTACCTGCAGATTCAATCCTCTCATTGCCCTGTACATGTACAATAAATAAGATTCGGCTATTTGTTTGTAGAGTCATTAGTCGTTTTTGAAGCAAGAAGTATGAAAAATGAGCAATGCCTTCGCCGGGAACCTGGCCCTGAACTTCTTGAATACGCACCGAGTGTGCTACTGTTACACAACGAAAACATGCTGGAACGAAGGAGAAAATACCTTACATACTTTCCTTCTTAGTGTAATAATTTTAGTGTAATTTAATTGCATAACACTGGTGAGAATATTGCTTAAAATTATTTTAAACTTTGCCTCGTTTGTGTTGTATGGTGACATAATTTACCGTTGTTTTTAAATATATGGCTAATAGTACGCCTATTTTTCATGCTACTTGTTTATACAGGTAGCTCGAAAAGGCATATATTTTCTAGATGTGCCTTTCCTAATGAGACAACTATTTGCGGAATTTTTGGCAAATAGTTTCAGCATGCAGGGGGGGGGAGAGAAGGAGGAATTTCATAAACATAATATAACTTTTCATATGGTCCTAAAAATAAAAACTTCAGTGAAAAAATATTCGTTATACATAAAAAACGAAAGTCTGCCATTGATACATCCGAAACAGGCGAAGATTCAATAAAGTTTTAACGAAAAATAAGGAGAACAGCTACAAATTTTAGTGATAAAGAATGCTAAGACCAAGATAAAAATTAAAATGT